GTAGAATAGTTCCTTAAAAAAAAAAAAAAAAACTAACATAGTAATTAGTTACTGAAGAGTTTGGGGGAGGACTTGCCCATAGTTCAGCTTTAACATGGTAAAGCTTGTATGAGATTTTATGATTTGGTTTACATATACTTTAAAATGATTAGTTGTATGTTATAACTGAGTAACAAAATAACAAATTGTACGTAAAAAGTCTGAAAGCAAAATGTTAAATTGTATTTTTTTTTTGCGGTGCTCTGGTTACAGAAATTGCCAGACAAGCTGCACAAATAAAACTCCTTCGAAAGCTGCAAAAGCAAGAACAGGTTCGAGCTGCAAAAGAAGCAAAAAAACAGCAAGGTATAAACATGGTGCTTGTCTTGTTTTACAGTCTACCCTAGAGCACGCTGTCTCCTCTATAATGTATTATTGTTCCTTTACAGCTATCATGGCTGCCGAAGAAAAGCGCAAGCAGAAAGAGCAGATAAAGATGATGAAACAACAGGTAACGTGTGCTGTGGAGGTTTATAATTGGGGCAATATGATCAATGGCACTACATCAGTGAACTGTAATGGGACGAGGGGGGGGGCACAGACTTTACTAATTTAAAACAAGGGGCCAAACCATCCTTAAAAACTTTAGATGCTCTTATTATTCTTTTAATTATATAAATGCTCTATTTATTATCTAAAGAGAAACTCAACACAAAACTGGTCAATGTATTGTGATCCACAGCTTGACCCCCTCCCCGCAGGGTTTATTTATCATTGTCTGTGAAACCAGAGGGGAGACTGAAGAATGCACTCTTCCATAACCGTGACATAGGATTCCTATGGAGGGACCACAGACAGCAGCCACCGTTTGTGACAGCATACCAGGATAGGGGGAATCTTCCCAATGATAGAATGAAGGCTAAAAGCGGATCTAAAGCCCAAAAGCCCAACAATTATATTTTATTTCGTTTTGGATAAAAAGGTGAGGGCGTAGAACCCATGTAAGGCATTTATTGTTGCCTCTTCCCATTAGAGAGAATTTACTTTCTTGGTGACCATTGTCACGGAGACTGAAAATCCGAAAACATTGCGTTCCCCAAAACAGCAATATTGGGAAAATCTTCCAATGGGGAAACCTGGTAGGTTCCCCAGGTGTTTTGCCATCTATAGCTCCACACAGTATCATCCAGTGGAATTATAGGACAGTAAGCTTTAATTTAAAGTAAAAAAATCAAAATGCAAGATCTGCTTAACTTTTAGACCCCCTCCTCCCTATGTAAAAAAAAACAGCATTACCTTTAGAAAAGCAAAGGAAGAAAAGCAAAAATATACTTATGCTATACTACTGCCTCTGCATGTGGCACCTAGGCAAGGGTGACATCATAGGGCTTCTGGTGAGATATTGGGAACACTGAGGATCTAAAATCTCCCAAGAAGGCATCACACTTGACACCATGGAAAGAAGCCGTGAAGGTAAGTATATTTTTGCTTTTGTTCTCCTTTTACTGATTTGTAAACATTTTGCTGCTCTCAAAACTATTTGTATTTGTATTATCGATGCTGATGCAACGTTATTTTCAATTGTAGGAGAAAATTAAAAGAATCGAGCAGATCCGAATGGAAAAAGAACTTCGTGCCCAACAGATTTTGGAGGTACCGGAAGATGTGTTTTTTAAGCCCTGGTGGTGCTATTACACTTTATGAGCATGTGTTGTACAGCTGGTGTGTTTACAGAACTATGATAGTGAAACCTGTTGCATGTATGTTCTAGGGTTTGTCTAATGTTGCTCACATTACATATAACAGATGTTAGTTTATCTTACACAGGAAATGTTGCATATTTTGAGAGTAAAAAGAAACTACTAAAATATGATGTTTAAAATGGGTTTCCAGGCATCTTTTTTTGTTTTGGATGGAGCGAAATCTTTACAACAGGGATAAAGGCAACAATATGTTTTTATCACATAGGGGAAAGGTTAAAACCTTTGTCATGGTTTTACTGCTATCTGGGTCCTTATATTTTCCTTCACTTTCTCTGGATATTTTCTCTCACTTCCTGTCTTAGTGACCACTTGTAATGGGACAGAAAATAAGGAGTGATCTTCCTGAAGAGGAAAAAAAATCCCCAAAACAAGCTGAGAGGAGGTCTAATCTTTCCTCCCTCTATCCAAAACTGAAGAGATGTATTGCCTGGAGTTCACTGTCAATAAACAGCTTTACTATGCATAGCGCATTCTAGATGAAATACTCATTGCATTGTAGACTTTACATGGTTGGGAAAATGGGTTTCTCCCTAATTTATTTCTTTGCTTCTGATCCTCTTCTGGCTTGTTTGCTTTGCTCTTTGAAGGCTGGTGTTCTCTGTAACATATATAACTGTAGAGACAGCATATATAGCAAGGTTGGATAGCTCATTTATATAACTGAGATATAGGACACATGACTAATTGATTCTCCTTGTAACTTTGAATGCCCCCAACTTAAATAGGGCTGTTAGTATTATACAAGATTTATATAGCGCCAGCAGTTTACATAGCGCTTTACAACATAAAGGGAGACAGGACAGTAACAATACAATTCAAAGAAAGAGGGCCCTGATCGTGAGAGTTTATAATCTAATAGACTAATGTTATGCCTTTAGTCACACATAATAGTAACATAATAGTGTTTACCAAGAAACACTTAGGTTTTAAAGGCCAAGTCTATTGAAAACTGATATCTTAGTTGTGAGTAATCAACAATGGGTTGAGTTTGCCCCATGCTCCTTTTTTTCTTGTGAATCGCAAGCCTAAAGGGAATCTGTGCTTTGCTCATGCAGGGCAAAGCAACAGCATCACTTTAATGCAGACCTTGACAAAAATTCTGTAGGTCTCTCAATACCTGTGTTGTGGTAGCCCTTTCAAATACACATGTGGATACACAAATATGTTAACGTGTGCGCAGTAATGCACTGTAACTTAGCTGAATAGCCTGAATGGGCCCTAAAAGTAATCTTTCATAAAGGTAAACTTTGTTGAAAGTCATATCTTTCGAGGCCTCCATTGAGTCTCTATGACATGGTTTTTGCTCCCGCCAACATTTGTATGTTGCCACTTTCTTATTTTGCATTCTCCATCAGATAAAATAAGTAAAAAATCCAATAGCTACAATTGGACCCCTTCATGCTGCCCTTAGGTAGGCAGACCTGGGAACTAAAGACCAGAAACCTGGAGTTCATAGGAGATGTAAGAAATGGTTAAACAGTTTAACTCTTCAACGGGAACAAACTGAAATATGAGTTTTGGGTAGACTCTAACTGTAAACAATCAGTGGCTTTTCGCACTTTCTAGGTAAGCCACTGACACCATATTGGGAAGCAGCATTAACCTGGCCATGCACTGGTGAAATTTCAGCCGAGTCCTGCTGACTTTGCCAAAATTTGAGCAGCGGGACCCTCTTGTTCAACAGAAGTCAATTTTTCAATCAGCCTTTGTTGAAGGAGCTGTCTGAAAATTCTCAACCATACAGTGACTGCAGCCCACAAGCTGCAGTCACTGTTTGGGTATTCTAATGGTGGCATGCCAGCCGCTGTCAGAATACAATAGCCCGGTGGGGTATGGCCAGCTTTATTACTGGAAGCTCTCACACTACTCTGTGCCTGAATGCTGCACTACATCATTCCAAATGCCTGTGTCTACAGTGACATAAAATTCACTTGTCATTGCCTCTCTAACTGGTTCTGTTATTGATGACTGGTTCTCTTTAGTGGAAACCTGTACTGAGAGCAATATGTGCTCTCCCATTTCTATCGTATGATTATCAGACCTGGGACGGGAGTGGATCTTAACCAAAACAAAATCAAAACTCCTGATCTGCCTGCTTGTCCTAGGAGTAGAAAGTATTGAATCTACTGCATTGGTATGACAGCCAGGCAGTCAGAATTTCCAAAAGGCAAGTCAGCAATGGCCGCCACGTATTTCTTTCAGGCCAGGTTTCCTTTAAGTATACATACAATTTTTACCAAGTGATTTTATATAGAAGTAAATAGGTTGGTAAGTTTAGGAAAGCGATAGAAGGAAGTGGCAAAGTTGTTGTAGGTTGATTGATAAGTGTTGATCAAAGACACCAAAGAGACCGCGTTGTGCTTTAAAAGATATTGTTTCTTTAAGCTAACAATGCTTATAATTTGATTGAGAATGATGTGCCAGCAGCGCTGTGTGTTAGTATAAAGGCTGTTTGACCTTTCATTGCTCGCCCATTATTTAAATGGCAGCCAGACCACACATTAGCATGCAGGAGAAGATGGGTTGTATTGTTAGCTGTGTCCTGTATTGTTCTGTTATCCCCCCCCCCTCCTCCCCACCTTCCCTACTAAGAGCAAGTGGCTCTTCTCCAGCATCTGATAACGCTGCTCACTCTGGACTTGTGTTGTTGCATGACCTTGAGACCTGTTTTGCATGCACAGGCTAAAAAGAAAAGGAAAGAAGATGCAGCAAATGCCAAAATATTGGAAGCCGAGAAACGTATAAAGGTTAGTTTAGAGAAAGCACATCCTTCCTGACTCTTCTCTTTATATCTGCCTTGATTTAGTAAGGCCTTGGGATTATACACATTGCTCCTTCAAAAAAAAAAACTCCAGTCACAAAACACAAAAATATATTTTCCAAAACAGTCATAACGGCCCAAATGGTTTTACATTTTCTAAATCTACAGTTATTTCTCTGTATCATTCTCTGGTCATTTTTCTACCTCCTGACAGATGTCTGATCTGTTTGTGCTCCTTAAACACATCCACTTACCTATTTCCAGAGCCTGAAATGGGAGATCGTCAGAGCTCTGGCCTATACCTTTCATATAATCCCAGCAGGGGGAAGCCAATCTAAAATAGTGGCTTAAAGTGACACTAAACTCAGGAATCAAACATTAAAAATGCATTCAAGCACCTTAACTATTAACAAAAATGTATCTTATTTGTGTATCACTCGGCTGTAGATCCTCAAATCATCTCTGAATTGGTGCTGCCACTATCCTTCCTTCTGGAGGGGGGCTACTTGTTTTGTTCCCCATGGTCCTTGTGTGTGTAGTAAAGTAGTCACCGCTCCAAGCTCGCTTCCATGATGAACTACAATCGCAGTACAAATTAGTAAACTAAACATGAGATTGTAGTCCATCATGGGAGTGATCTTGGAGCCGTGACTACTTTACAACGCACACAGGGACCATGTGGAGCAAAAGTAGCCACCCTCCAGAAGGAAGGACAGTGTCAGCACTAGGTATGCACCGATACCGATACTGGTATCGGTGCCAATGCTGAGTATTTGGGCTCATATACTCGTATGCCCAAATGCTCAGTTGCCTAGCCCAATACTTGAGTTTCCGGTATCTGGAAGGCGGGCAGCGAGTCATTACATGCTGCCTTGGCCGGGAAGCCGGCTCCATGCTCCCTCGTCGCTTGGTGGCGGCTTCCCGGCTAATCAGGAAGCCAGGCAGCGTGTAATGACTCCCCGCCCAGCTTCCTGATTGGCCAGAAAGCCAGCCAATCGGGTAGCCGGGCTCCGGGTAATGACTCGTTGCCTGGCTTCCTGATTGGCCAGCTTCTCGACCAATCAGGAAGCCGGGCGTCATTACACGTGTAATGACTCAAAGAGAAAGCACATCCTGATTGGCCAGAAAACTGGCTCAATGCATTCTCACCTGGTGACGAGGGTGCATGGAGACGGCTTTCCTGCTAATCAGGAAGACAAGTGGCGAGTCATTACACGCCGCCTGGCTTCCTTAATGGGACTTCTGGTATCGGTATTCGGTATAGGCGGGTCCCGAAAAAAATATATCGGAAAAAACGGTATCGGTGCATCCCTAGTCAGCACCAATTCAGAGATGATTTGAGGATCTGAAGCCGAGTGCTGCACAGAGAAGCTACATGTTTATTAATAGTTAAAGTACTTGAATGCATTTTTAACATTTAACCTCTAAGTTTAGTGTCACTTTAAGCTGGACATACATGGATTGAAATTTGCCCATTTCCTTCAAAATCAGCCAAAGTTTGGTCCATGGGTGGCCAGGTAGAGAATTGTTGTACATGCATCTGGAAGATTCACCTGCAGAGAATGTTTGTGGAATGCCAGATTCTCTGCTTTATAAATACTGTATGCCCTTAGTATGTATTTGTGTATGTACATATATAGATGTGGAGCATATGACTTTTGCCTAGAGTTCTAAGTAGGGGCACGCAAACTGCTACAGTAGTTCACATTGTATCGTGCAGCCCTTCCAACCTTAGAGTGCTTCATTCAATTCTATCAACTATTTATCAAAGTTAGATTTACAAATTTCACTGACAAGGTGGGGGGTTGGTTTGTCCTCTAAATACTGTGTTAAAAATGGAGGACACACTTTTTCCTATTAGCCTATAATATAGCATGTAGATAGACAAACGCTCCTCTAGACCAGTCTGCAGGTTGCAATGTTTAATGTATGAAGTGCCATCTGCTGACCTGAAGTGGATCTGCACTCGTAGTATATTTTTGTCCTGCAATCACAACTTGATAGCATCTAGCTCATTTCAGAAGTAAATACCTTTAAGGGATAGGCGCAGGTTTGCTTTGATGCCCCCCACTTCAGCAGCATATGCTCAAATCTCCTTCACTCCCAAGCCAACCTGTACAGCCACGGGGATTGTAGAATTTATCCGGTACCTCCAGGTATGGAGGAGCATGTGACTCACTGCCTTTTCTCTCATGTGATTGCGCTGGTGCTTTTTGATTGGCCCAACAATGTCACATGGTGGTAGGGAGAGAGTCCTGATCCCTGTGTAAGCTCTGACTATTGTGGCTCTGAGTTTATACAGGGTTTCCCACCCAATGGATGAACAGAACTGAAATTCAGCTTTAATTTTTTTTAATATTTTTGGATTGTCCCAATTTTGAAGTTTGTAATGCTGTTTAAGTTGTTTTACGAAATGTCATTAAATCCTTTGCTTCTTAATTACATTATGTATACTGAGCTACAAGGACTGCCACTGTTTTTTTCTTTTTAAGGAGAAGGAAATGAGGCGTCAACAAGCAGTTCTCCTGAAACACCAGGTCTGTAGACATAGAATCCCAATATCATAGATATGTATGTTTATTACTCTCATGGTTTGCCTTTTGTCCCTTCCCACTGTAGGCAGCTCTTTTGTAAGCTAAGCCAATGTTCAGCCATTTTATCACCAGGAACTATGGGTAATACCCAGAGCACTCCCTAAAGACATTGGTTCAGCATACAAAACTGCGGCCCTGAACTGAGATTGGACAACTGGGGGCTCTGTAGGCTACTTGCTGCTTATGGGCTTACTTTCCAGCAGCAAGATAATTAAGTACCCTGTAATTGTTATTGCACAATTATTTTCTGCTTACAAATTACCTGCCTTGCTTTGGTTGTGGGGCTTTTGGGATAATTTTATTTGATTTTTTTAATGGTTATTGTGTAATCTGCATTTATTTCTGTTTCATAATGATGTGCCAACTCTTTCTGCCAGGAGTTGGAGAGGCATAGACTAGATATGGTATGGGTATGTTTATTTTTGTACGTCTTAACACCGCATTGTGATTTATTTTTATTTTCTTTTTTGGTTGTGATCTGGTTGTCCTAGCAATGCATAAAGTGTAGCACTGGCTGCTGTCATTGTACATTCTCCTCCCTGCATGGCTTAACAGTGCAGTGCATTGCATACATCTGCTAATTAACCCAGGAAAGACTAATGCGTTTCAGGCTGCATCACACCGCTGACTAAAACAAAAAGGCTGCATTTCTGTGCATCGGCAAGCTGGCAAGAATAGATTTGGGCCATTGTTCCCCCGTGGTCATTTGCATAGCAAGAAATGTAATTTTCCCATCTAAATTCCAGCAGAGAAGTGTCTGCTCCAGCTGCTCATCACTCCGAATATATTTTATTTCAAGCCTACGTACATTAAAAAAAGAAACCCTGACCCTCTGTAAAACCACAAGCAAGCTTTTGTAACTTTATGCAGTGCATCCCCCAAAAAAACCAAGTCAGTTGGATAATCCTTTTTATTTTATTTTACATTCATGCATGTTTATCAGCCATGTATATATATATATATAAATAATTATTTCTTCATTTATTTCACTTGGCCTGTAAGTAAATACAATTAGTACCTGTTCTTGTAAACACCCCTGTAACTAGTGGTGGCATATTAAACTAGCTTAAATGGATACACAGCTCAAGAACTAAAGGTACCTTTACCTAGCAGCCATTTTGCGGACTGAAGTAATGTTTATAAAAATGGGCCTACTGCTTCACTAGACACCAGTGTCATCTCTGAGGGAAACAGTCAGTTGAGGTTGCAAGGGGTGGAACCCCTACTTATGAAAAGTAGACAGAGCACAGTACTCCATAGTTGCTCTATGGAGCTTTTATTTCATCACCACAGACATATGTAATGTTTGTGGGCCACATAAAGCACAATTGAACCTTCACTTTAAATCAGTTAAATGCAATGCAGGTGCATCAAAGCAAAATGGGATCAGTGTTTTACTGTTTGTTTTCTTTCCAAAGCAGCCACAGCCTAAGTAGAAAAAGCCTAGGTCCTGCCAGCAGCTGCAGATTGGAGCCTTTATGGAATCAGTGGTGGTCCGTGCAAAGATCTGACAAGCCCCCTACTGAGTCAAATCTATAGCTCTGCAATCTGCAAAGCTTCTACTCCAACCGGAACGTAGAGTGCTGACTCGGACTCAGCAGGGTGTGTGTTGGAACTCTGCAAAGGGACCACTACTTCCCCACATAGTGTATAGGTCCTTCTCTGCAGCTGCTGGCCAGACACATGATTTTCTAATCAGGCTATGGCTATTTTTTTTAGGATACAAATCGCAAGATTTTGCACACCTTTTGTTATGATGCATCTGGAATGTATTTAGCTAATTGAAACTGAAGTCACAATTGGGCTTTAAAGACCCCTTCAACAAAGCAACGATGACGACTCAACTCCATTGGGGCTGCAAGGCTGGACAGGGCCAGAGCTGTGACACCCCCCCTGCCCCCCCCCCCAGTGAAAGAGTTTGGCAGCTTCTATGCGCATGGACCGGATGATAGAAAAGGCTTTTTTTTTGCTTATAGCAAGTAATCACATTCCTTTAAATTTCTAGCACATAAAAGAGACAATTTTATTAGCTCCTACACAGACAGTTATTCCTCGTGCTTATATTAGGCCCACCTCTGAGGCTCCTGGTGAGCCACAATCTCCTTCATGCACAGGAAGTTCTGAAGCTCCTGATGTGAATTTCTATTATCCTGCTTGTATTGTAGCCATTCATTGCTGCGGTCATGACTCTGTTAAAACCCCAATAAACACAGACAGTGCGACATGGATTTAAATGGCCCCACAGCCCTTTTATTAACCCGACAAATACTGACACCAACAAAGGGAAGCACTCATACTAGCTGATGGGCCCCCGTTTGTGTAAGTGACTCACATTTTCAGAACCCCCAAAGACCACCTAACCCGCCAAGCTGCCGTGACATAAAAAGGACATTGTAAAAACCAGGAAGCACAAAAATTATGGGAGGTCCGGTGGGACAACCTGCTTTCTTTGTCGAAACGCCCATCAGCCCTTGCAGTCCTAACCCATGCGGCTCTTCTCGGACACCTGACCCCCACCTCCAATCAGGTAAAATCAGCTAATCCACACTTTATTTTAACCCCTTCTACGGGACTATTCCTCCCCCCAGTCATGCAGCCCCTTTGCTCATTATCTCTGGGTCTGTCTTTGTAGCCAGACCTGTGAGGACAGAATTACTTAATTGTGTCACTGATTGCTAGTGAACTGATTGCATGGGTTCAGGACTTTGGTTCCACACAAAATGGCTGCCGCTGTGTAGAAAAGATGTATTTTAAAATAAACGTAAGGTAGCTTGTTTATGTAAATCTTCATAATTGCTCAGCTTATTAAGAAGCATCACAGTGTAAGTGACCATCAGTATACGTTGTGCATTTTTCGACAGTCTTCATTATTCATTGCTTTACATTTGCTGCTTTGATTATGTACCCGCTTTCTAAACCTCAACTAAAACATGCACAAACTTGACATGCTCTGTATTTATAGCACTCAATGTGACTTGTCTCATTGCTAAATCTGCAGCTCTCAGCTTCACGTCCACCAATATTTTTTTTTTTTTTATATATTCTGCTTGGGCTTTGTCTCATCTTCTATCTGTTTTTGCAGGAGAGAGAGAGAAGGAGACAACACGTAATGCTCTTGAAGGCTGTTGAAGCTCGTAAAAAGGCTGAGGTACATGCAGTGTCAGCATTACCAGGGAAGCTGATAAATGTTCTTTCTAGATAGAATTCCCTGACAGAATTGATTTCAAAACTCTGTGAGTTTATTGTTCTGTCAGGCATCATGTTTAACGTACGCCTGTCACCTACACTCGCAGGCTGAAGCCATTTTGTTGCTGTGTACAGAAGTCATGAGGAAATAGCCTATCAGATCTTTACAAAATCACAGCAGTGATAGGCTGCAGCTTCCAGAGTTTGAATTCAGAGCAAAAGATGGCTGAACTTTTTCAGCAATTGTAAAGGGATGACAGGTGACTAAAAAAAAAGTGTATTTTTTTAGTGGGTATCATTTTGAGTAATATGTTAACACTTTTTTTGTGCAAATTGTGACAAAATATCATATTTTTTACATGATTACTGTTCCATATTGTCATGCTTGCATGTCATATGAAGATTTGTAGTTTATACCCCTAGTGACCGTCTGTATGTCAGGGATTAGGATTTACACACTTCCTGTACAACTACGGAGATAAAATCAGTTTTGCACATTGACAGTTTATTGTTTAGATATACTTTTAACCAATATACTTTATTTAAAGCAGTTATAAAGCTGCAGATTCCTCCCCAAAATGACATACAGGGTGCATCTGCATGGCATTGAATGACACGTTCCAATACCAGGACCTCACCCAGTAATGACGGTGGCACATACATAGTTTTTTAAAGTTGAACTACAAGTGGATGTTATAAAAACACCAATTATTGTAGTTAGGTGTTATTCAAAAAAAAAATCAATCAGTTAATGTTAGAAGCATCTAGCATAAATACCTCAATTTGACTTGATTTCCGCCTGTAATACCCTATACAGCAGCATATGCACTGGGAAAGGGAGGGGCAGTAATAAGGGCCAAGCAAATAAGGGCCAATCAGGTGTCCTGCATTGACATTTGCTGGCAAGGAACATGCTGGCAGTAAGAGAGAGCAGGGAGGTGACCTAATCCGTCTGCTGTTGCTCCTACATTGTCCAACCACAGGCTGGGGCCAGGGAGGTGACTGAGCTGTAATGTTTTACTGCAGCTGGGGAACATCAGTTCATCAACCTTGCTCTGCTATCTGGCAGGACTGTGAAACTCTCAGGACTAGAAAGATACAAAAAAATACAAATCCTTTGGCAGGTAAGACTGCTCCTGACTGTGTACTTCTACTGTGTATTTAGCTGCTTACCTTGAGTTCAACTTTCATTCCCTCTGCTATGAGTCAGGCCTGATTGCAGTTAGATATTCCAACACCGTAGAATTCCCTATGCAACACTACTATAGGGAGACACAGCCTGAATGTGGTAAGTTCAAATAAATATGAAGTATAGATTTACTTACTATACATAGAAAAAAGGTATCAAAAACACATTAATATGCTAGTTTACATTAAATGTATTACATTCCCTTTGTATATCTAAATGAAAAAACCTCTAGATTCCATCCATATTTCACTTGCTTCGAGTGCCAGTATCCTTTTTGTTAGAATATTTCTGGAATGACATTATAAAAATGCCAATTTGTAGGTTTAAGATTGAATGTTATATGGATTAGGAATATAATTGGTAGTCTCTTAGTCTACCCCCATGAAATTTTTTTGCTAGTGATAAGACTTTGAGCATTTCTGTCCACGGACAGTCCTCTTTTAGTCAGAGCACATCATGATCAAGAGTGTCTGAGTGACTGTTCTTGCCCATAGCAAACAATCAGACTCTTCCTTTCATTCTCGCATACACTATGGAGGTGCTGATACATTGTTGTATTATTGTTCCTCAAGGAAAAAGAACGTTTGAAACAAGAAAAGCAAGATGAGAAAAGATTGAATAAAGAGCGTAAACTGGAGCAGAGGCGGCTAGAACTCGAACTGGCCAAGGAGATGAAGAAGCCAATGGAAGACATGTGTCTGTCTGACCAAAAGGTATCTTTGTTCAGGAACTAAAGCCTTGTATTATGCTGAAGACAGAGCCCTTTAGATCTATAAGGTGCTCTTACATGCGCTAGTCTATTGTGCTGTCCTTGACAGCTCTTGGCGGCTGTTTGCGGACCTCCATTTATCTCTGTGCACAAAACTGCATTCTGTGTCCATTGATTTGTGGGCCTTCACTGACTTGCACTAAGTCCTGCAGAAATCTTATCTCAGAGATGGATGGAGGCCTGCAGGCAGCTACTGATGCCTATCAGAGTCAGTTAAGAGAGCACGTCTGAAAGTTATACTCCAGTTTAAAGTAGAACTTTGGCCTCCCTTTAGAAAATATGCACTTCAGTACTTAATTATAAGTGCATCTTACAGTTTTCTCTTAGGCTTCCTGCAAAGTCCCAAAAATACCTGTTGAGCCTGCCAGCTTTCTGCAGTGGGGTGGCAACGATGCTGCATTGCTCCTGAATCTAGAACAGAGTTGACACTTTCCTGTAGGCTGTGCCTATTTGCATACAGTGGGATGAAAAATGTTGCAGCCGGCATGGCTATCAAGTATCAGCATTGTCACTGCTGATTCACGAGCCTGCAGCTTGTCATCACCCTGTGTTGTCGCCTGGCCACACCCAGTGCTGCTCACTGCTTTTAGAGATTGCCAGCATTGCTGCTATGTTGTAGTATCCGTCCCACCATGAGCTGCAGTGCCTGCTAGGGAAAGATGTGGAGAAAAAATAAAGAAAGATGTGGTTCAGTCAGGGAAGGTAAAGGAAGTGTTTTGTTTACTTTATGTGGTTTGTGCATTACGCAGTAACTGGATTTGGTATTTATTCAGACTTTCATACAGGAGCTTAGAGTTGTATTCTGAAATAAAATGAATAAGCACCTCGGCAGTAGTAAAAAATAAAAAAAGCTGCAATAAATAATGTTCTTAGATTGACTGTGATAACTTACGTTTTTGTAAGTTAAAAGATAAAGATTTGTTCATCCTTAAAACATTTACTTGTCTTGTAGCCTTTGCCAGATTTACCCCGCATCCCGGGACTGATCCTTTCCGGTGCCACTTTCTCCAACTGCCTCATGGTAGTGCAATTTCTAAGGAACTTTGGGAAGGTTTTAGACTTTGACATTCATTCTGACATTCCATCGCTCGGTGTCTTTCAAGAAGGTTTAATAAACATGGGGGAAAGCATGGGAGAAGTGCAAGACTTGTTGGTGAGGCTGCTATCTGCAGCAGTGTGTGATCCTGGAGTCCCACCAGGGTACAAGGTAAGAAACTCTGGTGTTATATGCTCATACATACTGATGTGAGAACATAGCTGTTATAGCATAGTGTACATTGTATTACCACGAGCAGGCTGCTTGGAGTAGATAAAATGCAGGTCAGAAGGAGGTACATCTGTCGGTGAATTCTGAATAATCTCAGAAGCATCTCAAACTGATGTCAAACTAATTCCATAGACACAATCCCTAAACCCATCAACATAGGCCCTTAATTAGTGGGAAATGCATGCAGGACACGCTTTGCATTTTGATGTGCAAGACATGAATGAAACCATGCAGTGCAATGCACCAAAAAGTTTGTGCATGACAATACAGCCAGTGAGAATGAGCCTTTTGAGAGTCCATCAGTCCAATCTAATGCTTCAATCAATGTAATTTTTTTAAACTTTAAGTTTTTTATTTAGTTTCAGTGCATATAAAGCATCGCATTTTACACTCATAGAATCAACAAGCAGATACATTAACACATATCTTATCCATCATAATCAATGTAATTTTAATGACATCAGCAAAAATAGCTTAAAACATGTGATCCCATATTTGTTTGAGCATATTGTCTGGCTAGCTCCTGACATAAGACCAGCCCTACCCTAAAGAGACATTGTCACCTGCCCATTCAGGTAAGTGTGACTTTATCTCCTGATAGTCCATCCCCACCCCAGCACGGTATAAGCACCTATCCATTTTGGTGGATGGTGTCACTACCCCATATGTGACAATGTTTGGCCTGGTGATTGGGAGGTCACATGCTTCCTCAAACCCATAAGTCATTAGAGCATAGGAGCAAGGGCTCTGAGAGATAAGGGAGTGTGGATCAGTGAGTATACTTTCCTGCGGGTTTGGCTAACAGAAGCTTTCTACTTTGACTTGGCCTAAAACTGATGTTTTAGTATTGAGTGGCTGTTGGTTTGATACATGTCTAACTTTTTCATGTCTTGGTTGGCTTTCTATTCTTATATAGTCTCACTATTACTGATATAACATAGAGAGTGAGGCCCCCTTGTAGTGGTGTTTACTGGTGGGTGGTGCTGGGAACTCTGGTGCAGAGATCTGACTCTCCAAGAAATATAGGAAACCATTGGGTAGCTCGTCCTACCACCATCTACAGTAAAAAATTGAGAATGTTTCACAGTTTCGATGTACGGATCCTTTTAAACCTTCCAATAATTTAAGCGTTCACGTAAAAAAAAATTCTCTTTAAGGGAAACAGTAAATCGATTACAGCATTATTATTATAATGTTGCCTTTTAAACACAATGTCAAGCATTTGATTGGCTTTAGAATATTTTAAGTGCTTTATTTATAATAATCATGATTAAATTTTTATAGAGCTTTTCTCCCATGAGACTCAGAACTCTTTACATTTACAGCAATCACAAGTGTAATTTGTCAGTATGAAGAAATGATATTAATTGCAGACTGGTTCATAAGATGGGATTTATGTGCTGCCTGGATACATTCTGATGTCTCATTATTTTTTTTTTCTTTAAGGCTAAAACAGCTCTTGGGGAACACTTAATGAATATTGGTATAAATCGTGACAACGTTTCTGAGATTCTTCAGATCTATATGGAAGCGCACTGCGGCCAGACCGAGCTCACAGAAAGTCTTAAAACCAAATCTTTCCAAGCACACACCCCAACCGAAAAAGCTTCTGTTTTTGCGTTCCTGGTCAATGAGCTTGCCTGCAGCAAAAGTGTAGTCAGGTAAATAGAGTTCTAGCAGAGCTCCAGGATTTATTGTTCTGCATTGCTAACATTTTCCTACCTTCCTTAAAAACGATTTTTGATTAAAGGTCATGTGACCTTCTGTGTACTACTTTCCCTCGAGCAAGCTGGTGGGTAGAAAGAGATTAATGACACAGTTATGTGATATGCCGCTGCTTGGGACTTCATATGGTCAGATGGGCAATGCTTTTGGGCATCATAAGGTCGGCCTATTGTTGACTGCACTAAAAACTACAGTCATGTCTAAGACAGCCAGGCCACTGATGACCTAGACCATGCAGGGAGCTGCACTGCCTGAAAAAGTAGCATCTGCCATGGAAACACACCACATTATCAAAGCCTTTAGCCACAAAGGGGGGTTATAAAATGATTAAAATAGTGAATTTTTCCAGCCTGCCACTGCACAAGGTAAGTATTTTAACACAGTGAAGCTGAAGAAAAGCTTTTATTACCACCATGTGGACCAGTTACTTCATCCTGCTGTAACCAAGACATGAAGATAAAATCCTGAAGTAGTGCAAAATGTGGAAAACACTTTCATTTCTCAATACATTTTGAAAAGAATAGGATTTTTGTCCATTGAGGAACACAGCTTAATAGTAAGAAACGTAGGGTTATACTGCTGCCTGCAGGGGAATCGGACACTAGACACAGAAAACTGAAGGCCAGCCCCATTGAAGCTATAACACCTCCCACCTTGATGACAAAAAGTCCACAAGGCACTAACTGCCCTAGTGGAGTGGACTTTAATGGCATAAGCAGGTACTGTATCTTGCAACGTATAGCCCTGCACAACAAATCCACTTAGAAATAGTAAATCTAGAAGCCAGAGAAAAGTAAACCCTGACTACCCATACCACATCCAGGCAATGGAGGGTAATCGCCCTGGGGTGAACGGGTACCAAACACAGGGATGGTAACAAAATATCCTCATTAAGGTAAAAGGTAGAAACCACTTTGATAAAAGTAAGGTTTGTGGTCTCAAAACAACCTTCTCCCTATGTAATATTAAACGGGGCTCCCTACAGGACAATGCTGATCATTCAAAAAATGGCCATAAGAAAGGCTACCTTATGAGATAGTGTCAGCTTCTCCTGTAGGCAGCAGTATAACCCTGGGTTACTTACTATCAAGCTGTGTCCCTCAAAGGATGATAGAGAAAATTAATTGTGCTCACGCTGTGCACTACATTAAGACAATTGCCAGCAAAGCTTATAGAGAGCAAAGCACCAAAGGCTTTCACTATGTCAGCTGTAACCGCATGCTGTTTACACTTTACTATGGCAGCATTAAAAGCTAAAGGGTTTATTCAGAAACGCTGCCGAAAGCAGCCGAGTGAATAACCGAGCTGTAGTGAAGTGAGCCGTACAACGTTCGGCTATTCACTATGGCTCAATATGGCTGATTTCGGTCAGCCAAACTCACATAGGTGCCGACGACAGTGAGTGAATAGCCGAATGCCTCCGTGGTACCGAGCAGAATAACAAATTGTGAAAAAAGTTAGGGAAAAAAATAATACATTTAAAAAAAAAGGATTTTTTAATACAAAATGGGCGGAGCTAGCAGTGACGTCACAGCCAGCTCTGCCTAGTTGTTATTGTTTAATGACAGATCAGCTTCTCCAGGTCATTTGGGGCTGCAGATCTGTCATTACAACTGGGCGGAGCCAGCTGTGAGATCACGGCAGTCTCCGCCCAGCTGTCATTTGCGGGGCGATAGGCCGGCCTTCGGCAGTCCCTTCTCCCCGCTTCAGCTGACACTTCGACTCAGTCAAGCCGAAGCAAATGCCTTTGGCTCGGCTGAGCCACTCGGCCACCTTCGGGAGCTGTACAGGCTATAGTGAATAGCCCGCACAGTAGCCCTTCGGTTCGACTGAACCGAAGGGCTCCGGCGGCCGAAGGATCAGTCGAAGCTACGGATGGATCCTTCGGCAGCTTTGTGAATAGACCCCTAAGTTCTGTTCACTTTAAGAAGCCCAAAAGCTGTCAGCAAGTTTAGTCTGTACTGTTAGAAAAATAAGTGTTGGTTTTACCTCACCTTTTTACCAAACCAAAACAGTCTAAACTTTTAACTTAAAGCTGAACTTCAGGCAAACAGTTAAACACACAGATTAAATACACAGATACAAGCTTTTTTACCTGCCATAGAGATTTATATAGCTCTGCAGCACAGCCCTGTCTGACAGAGGAGGGGCCTGATGTTTCTCTGCTGCAGTTTAATACCCCTTGCAGGTATCCTCCCCACCCCCAGCACTGGACAGTGAAAGGAATAGTAGCAGACTAATGAGCATCTTTCTCTGTCACTTTGCTGTCTCCTCCTATCAACATGCTCCATTAATTGAAGCACAACTGATTAGCTCCTTGTACTGCTGGTTCTCCCTCCATCAGTCTGAGCTCTGCTGTAAGAAGGTTAATACCAAGCCAACTTCAGATATTCTCACTGCTTCCATTTAAAATACATTTAAGGAATTAATAATGAATACAAAGATGTATTAATTTGTGACGACTTTTTATCTGCCGGGAGGTTAGCTTTAAGATGCTGCCCACATTTGTTCATGCTGCCCTTGGAAAGTTAAAGCAGGACTATACAGAGATATAAAACCCACAATAAATGCATTTTTATGTAGGGTGGCATCATAGATCTCTAAAAAATTCTGGTTTCATCCAGTGTTCTGTTGCATTTATTGTTTATAGCAGTGTTTCTCAACCTGTTTAATCTCAGGACCCACATTTGTCCTTGGTCATTAAGTTGAAACCGAAACCGAACTGCAATGGAACACTACATTGCGGTACCGCAAGTACCGGTTTGGGCGATTAAACTGTGGGCGGAGGGTGCGAATGGCATGGTACAGTGCGTTAATGGCACAGGACTGTTCGATTAACGCACTGTACTAGTGTGAATGGGCCACACGGGTCACACAACCATAGACACAATATCACCCATATACTGTATGCACTACAAAAAATTATAAATTTTTTAAAGATCCACCCAGTCTCCGTAGCGTGTGAGAACTGGAGCGGATCCTCAGCCTGGGGTCCAGTGTGAGCTGCTGTGCTGTGACGGAGCTCCATCCATATGTGCATTGCTTGTACAAACCCCTTGCGTGCCCTGTAGAGGTGCCGGACACCGGAACATGATGTCGCTCCGATCCATGCACCTCTACCGGACATGCGAGGAAGCTGTACGCAATGCAAGTATGGATGGAGCTCCATCGCTGCCATAGCTGCAGCCCACCCTACCATATGAATGGCTGCTTGGCCTCGAGAACTGGACTCTCACCTAGAAAAGTGGAAGGTATACAGCGACCCACTGAACACAGGGATGCAACCTACTTTTAACAATGTAACCTCTGTTATATTATGTTGCTGTTCTTGAATAAAAAGAGATTAAATATAAAAAATGATGGGTCTTAATAATATAATGATGTAATAATGTTTTTACATTTTCAGTGAAATAGACAAAAGTTTAGAACACATGTCCAACCTAAGAAGAGATAAATGGATGGTTGAAGGCAAGCTCCGCAAGTAAGATTTTAATGTATTTTTAATAGTCTTAGTGATACTAACCTGTGTTATCTATACCAATTCTTACTCTCATATGACACACTCCTAGCATTTGTGTGTTACCTCTAGAGGTGAGGCATTTGCCAGTACCCATTAAACGTGCATTATCACTTTCCAGGATTACATTTCTTATGTGTATTAATATGTTTTTTCATTTAAAAAAAAAAAAAGCCTTTTTTATGTAAAACCTGTTACTTATTTTAACAATAAACAGCAGTTGAAAGGATCAGTGCATATAAATCCATATTGATTTATAGAGCTACTTAGTGTAGTTAGGTCGAAAACAAAGACAAATGGTAATTAAGTTCAGTCAAGTAGGGAAAGGATTAAATGTGTTATAAAATATAAACCATAGCACCTAGCCGATCCAGAGTAAGAAAAATTCCCCAATTAAGCATGAAGTTTGCTCCGATAAGGATAGAAAAATAAATTCCGACCCTTGGACCTGTTATGAAGGTCTAGCACTTGGTCGTAAGGGTGGCCATACAGCTGAGGAAAAGTTTAGCGATCATGCTATTCTAAAGTGAGAATCCTTCTCTAGATGTTTCTCCACATGCTGCTGCTCTTACGATGGGTCTCACAATTTCTTGGGCCACACTCCCCCATCTACAAGATTTCCTTTACCAGGGACATTTCCACACAAACATCCAATTTATTAAGCTTCTTCATCTTCAGCTTGTCATGCATAGGACATCACTATTACTTTTATACAGGATTTATATAGTGCCAACAGTTTGCGCAGTGCTTTACAATATAAGGAAGACATTACAATCAATACAATTCAAGACAAGATGGTAAGGAGGGCCCTGCCCCTGAGGGCTTACAATCTAAAAGGGAGAGGGAAGTGATACATGAGGAGGGAGCTGTGTAGGGCAAGTCCATCCTTCCATCTTTGCCCGGTCTTCTTCCGTGTTTGGTGTCTTCGGCCTTTTGATTGGCTGGGCTGGGATGATGTGTCTCCTGCACATGTGCATGGGAGTTACTTCATTTCAGCACAGGATCTTGTCAAGCTTGTGCACTGAACTGCGCAATAGTAGCTCAGTGCACACAAATGCTGACAGGCAGGGAGGTAGTCATTTGACACAAGAGACATACATAATCTATTCTGTTGTAAAAACCCAACTGGCCTGTCTTTTTTGTCATCTTTACTTTCTGCTTTAAGGAGTGATCAAAACTCAGTGTAAAAAGCCACTTTGGTTAACTTTACTTTTGCTTTCATTATCCATTTTTTTCCTGATTGGCAAGACACTTCTTAAATGTTTCTATTGTCTGACCTCAGACCTATTGGCAAGTCCATCCCCTTTCTCCCAGCAAGGTATACTCATTTATCAATGCTCCATCGTCTGCTTCCCGCTTTGTTGGAGCCCTTACTCCCTTGCTGTAACAGAGTGCTTCTACTGAACACTGCCATATTGGGAGGCAGCGACGTCATCCACCTAGGTAAGCTCCAGCACCATCCAACACTGGTGCTTACTCAGGGAGGAATCCTGCAGCAGGGAGGCGAGGGAGTGCAGATGGGTAAGCATCCTTGCTAGCAGGGTGGGCTATCAGGGGGCATCGTCACTATGTGACAGTGTCTCTTTAAAGGAGAACTATGGGGTCAGTGTTTTTCCCCATAGCTCTCCTTAGGGTAACGGGGGGACACAAACTAGCGTCCTCCCGTTACCCTAAGCTCAGTATACCGCGAGCTACAGCTCGCGGTATACTGAGACACCGCAGCCGGAGCGGATCCCGACGTAGATGACGGGATCCGCCCAGCTGCGTGAGTGACAGCTGGCTCTGCCTATCTAGAGACAGAGCCAGCTGTACCCGCCCCCTCCCCCGTCCGTTCCGCCAGTCAGCGCTGGCAGATCGGAGAGGGGAATCCAGCCCCTCCCCCTGTCACGGCAGAGAGCCGTGACAGGATCGAGAGGTGAGCGAACCTGGTATGTGTTCACTCACCTCCCGATCTACTGAGCCGACCTGTGACAGTCTCATTGTCACAGGTCGGCTAGAACTATGAGGTGAGTGGAAATCACTCATCTCATAGTTCTCCTTTAAAACAGGTTGAGCGAGACAATGGCTCACTTATTTGCCCATTATTGCTGTTGTTGTCATGCTAGTTTAATCTGCCCTATTAGTCAGAGCATTTCATGTCTTGTGCTTGTCTTATAGGCTGAGAATAATACATGCTAAAAAGACGGGAAAGCGAGACTCCATCGCGGGCGCTGAAGGCGGAGAAGAACAGCATTCATTAGGAACCCCCACAGCAGGCAGAAAACGCAGGCGGAAGGGTACAGACAGTGACTATGATGATGATGATGACGATGATAGCGATGATCCAGCAGAAGAAGATGAAGACGATGATGAAGATAAAAAGGGGAAGAAATCCGAAACTTGCGATGATGAGGTATATGGATGTTTTTTAAATCAGTGCATAATGCAGGGCTTCTTTTGACCTTTTTGTGAAATGCAGGAAGAGGTGCCTAGTTAGACAAACCTCATTAAATAGCCTTTATGGCACAGCTCTGCCAAGACTCTCTTTTGGACCTTTGTTTCTGAATGTCCCAACATATTTTTAGCATGAACTAGAATGAACTCCTAGCACCTTGTAGACCTCCTCCACAGTGGGAGAAGGGAAATTACTAGCATCTAACAACACATGACCAGCACACCAGGGGCTCTGGACCACTAAGATCTTTTCAGAGCTGTAGTCAGAAGCATGCGTTGGGTAGGGCCAGATCTGACACTGAGAATCATACCACAGGTAATGCTTTTACACACTGCCTTTACTTCATCGGCTGAGCTGTCTGGACCATACTATGAAATATTTTTTTTTTTTTTAATGGTAGGTTTACTTTTAAGTGGCTGAAAATAAATAATTATTTATTATATTAATGGCTAGTTAGTTCCTTTTTGTAAACTAAGCTCTAGGAAAACAATAGTAGAAATGCATATATGCGAACTGTTTTAGCTTAGCAAAGACTTTGGAATTCTGTTCAGCCTCTTCTTTGATCCAGCCAACCCAGCCAGACAGCACATGCAGGTCCTACGCTGCAGTTAGGCAATACAGCCGTGGCAAGAATACCCCCAGGACTCCTAACTGGATAGTGAAGCAGCAGTTAGCCTTGTGTTCCCTCCTCCTGTTAGAATGGTCCCTCAGTTGGACTGAAAGTAATGTGCAAAGCAAATATACCATAATTTGCTCCAAATGCTGACCCTTCTTTTAGTGTGCTGATGTGCAGAGAATTGCACGGACCTAATGTAGACCAGTTCAGGAATTTATTCTAGTTGCACTTTTAATGATTTTATAAAGAATGCATACTTGTACTAAAAGTTATTTTGCATACCTGCTTGGAGTACTTGTTAACTGTTTGCTGACCACTGGGCACACCATGGATGCTATATTGTCCAAAGTGTAAGCAAATATTGACATAGAAGTCCACCATAGAAAGCAGTTTTCTTTCTAGTTGATAATACTATACTGTACACCTTTGAATGCTGAACACGGCAGTGCTCAGGAACAGTGACAGAAACTCATGAGTACAAGCAATGAAGGCTTGCCTCAGATCCTTGCACAGACCATGATAGTGGAGGTAGGAAGATTTCATCACTGTGCTGACTACCAGAATAGGGTTTTTTCTCATGCTTTTTCTGAATCTAGAAAGCCTCAGAAATATATGTATTGCTTATGTTGCCCATAGGATGATGGAGACCAGACTGCTACAGTAGAGGAACTAGAGAAGCAGATAGAAAAGCTGGTGAAGGTAATCTGTTCTTTTTCTTGTATATTCATATATTATGTGTATCATCATTCTGAAGAAAGCCCTGAAATGTATTGACACTGTAGATGATGTTACTATATGAAACTGTGCCATTGTTCTTTCCACAGCAACAAAACCAGTATAGGAAGAAGCTGTTTGAGTCCTCCCATTCCTTGCGGTCAATGATGTTTGGGCAGGATCGGTACCGCCGTCGGTACTGGATTCTTCCACAGTGTGGTGGCATATTTGTGGAAGGAATGGAGAGCGGTGAAGGTAAGTCATGTAAATCAAGTCCCATTTTCAGTTCTCTGTCTGATAACAGGAATGTATAAACTGCAAAGATACTATTTGCTTGGTTGCCATATGTTGCAGATATTTGGCAAGAGCAGCACTGAGGAGAATTAAAGCGGAACTCGAGACATTTTCTTTTTTGCAAATTTACATTGGTCCAGCTCTGCTTAATGTAAGTATCCATATCTGATATCCTGAAGGCCGCTGGGGATGCTGAAAATCACTGTAGTAGTCTGCTCTACATACAGTCATAGCCATGATCTTCCGGGTGCAGCTCCAGCATCTTTACCTCTACACAGTGAACACAGAGAGTCCTTTGCTCAAAGAATCAGAATCAGAGAATGCAAATTAATTGATTAAAAAAAACAAGGTGTTCTCTGAATGACAGCTAAACTCCCTGTATTCAGCATGCAGATGGGGTGCCTCTGGAGCAGCACCTGGTCACGGCCATCACTGTATGAAGTGCGGACTAATACAGTGATTTTCAGTATCCCCAGTAGCATTCCAAATATCAGTTATTTACAACAAGCCAAACTGGACGAATGTACAGTAAGTTTGCAATATAGGTGATTCCTGGAGTTCCGCATTAAAATGTTCATGTCATCCACACATTATGTAGGCAGCCATTTTGTAGGCGCAGAGTCAATATTCCTGGATGTAGCTTTATAATTTACATTTGGAGCAAACACCACAAATAACTTCTATTACCCGTATAAGCAAGGAAAGCCCTCTTTGTGTTCTTCTCTTAACCTCTTGCCGTCCGCCCGTAGTAAAAAAACGGACGGACGGCACTGCAGCATCTGCGGGTTGCCGTCTCCAGACGGCAATTTTTTTCTGCTCGCGCGCGCCCCCTAGCGGGCACGCACGGGCAGAAAAGACCCGTCCAATGCGAACACCCGGTACCGGGTGTTTCACATATAGGCGATCAGCGGGTCCATAGCCCGCCGATCGCCTATATGTGCTCGTTAGCGGCAGCCCCCCACCAGATCTCTGCTTCATCAGCTTCATCAGCTTCTTTTGGGGTCCACAGGTGATATTAGGGGTCCTAGAGACCCCTAATATCTCCATAAAGAGGACCTGTCAGTGTGCCTTTGCTATTATATAGGGGGTTGTTATCCCCCTATATAATAGCAATAACAATAAGTGCAAAAAAAAAAATATAAATAAAAAAAAAGAAAAGTAACACATAAAAAAATAAAATAAAATAAAAGCCACATATAAAAAAAGGGGAAAAAACCCCCCCAAAATGTTTAACTCCCCCACCCCCACGTTTACGCGCCTATAAACGTAAATACGCGTCCGGTGCCCCAGCGCGCAAAAATTACAATTGCGCTACACATGTTACATATCGCCGCGAACGTCGCAGTGAGAGCAATCATTTTAGGGCCATCAATCACTGATAACACTAAACTGATGAGCGGTAACAGCTTTTAAAGCGTCGCCTATGGCCAATTTTGGGTATTATCGTTTTTTGAGGTTTCGCGCGCGCACGCAATTTTAAGGCTTGACATGTTTAGTGTCTTTTTACCCGACGTGACCCCATCTTTTATATTTTACCAAAAAATTGGGTAATAATAAATGTTTTATCATTTAATATAGGGGAAACTGTTTTTTTTTTTAAATTTCGGTAATTTTTCCTTAATATAGTAAAAAAATAAAACCCCCAGTGGTGAATAAATACCACCAAAAGAAAGCTCTATCTGTCCCCAAAAAAGGGTATAAAATTCATTTCAGTACAGCGCTGCATGACGGAATAAATGTCAGTTAAAGTACCGCAGCGCTGAATACTGAAAAATGGCCTGGATGGGAAGGGGGTTTAACACCGCGGATGTCAACTGGTTAAAGCAGAACTGACTGCGGGGAAAACTGATGATGTTTTCTGGTAGAAGGGGCCTTGTATGTCTTATGTGCCAAAAACATCCTTTCTGTTTTTCTTAGGTATTTTTTCTCAGATTGCCTACTGTGCATATTCATTGCTGTGTACACTCTCAGTAACTGTCAGATGTAGAAGGGTGGTCCCCTGGTGGTGCAACTCTATCATGCATACGCGGGCGTTACACCATCAGTTAGTGATACACAGCAGATAGTATCGCTGATACAGCACAAACTTAATAGTAAGTTTGCCATAATGTGCAAGTATGCCATGCATGCTTGCACATTATGGTTTTTGCTCCTGCTGCACCCCCAGGCATTAGTTCCTTTTTAGTGACATTTTGTTACTAGGGGCTGGAGTCCTTGTCTTCAGGTCTAAGTCCAACCAACTGCCACCCCGCAGTGCATTAAGAGCCTTATTGGTCACTGAGGCATCCTCATTGAATGGGAAATGACTGTTTGCAAGGCTTATTGTTGAAGCTGGTAAAATCAGTAACATAGTAAACATACTTTCAGAGAGGCACATTTGGTTAAATAAATAAATGGTAGGCATTTTGTGGTATCTGCTCTTAGGCAATGGGGTTTAAAAGATTAAAATGACTGACAGCTTTATTTTTAGGTGTAAGTGTATTTTTTTATGTATTTAATTGCTATATTTAATGTTAACATTATTCTTGTAGGACCAGAGGAAATGGCAAAGGAAAGAGAAAGGCATCGACAAATTGAAAAGATTGAGATTAAAGAAGAGATGCTTGATTGCCTTGATGAGAAGTCAAACTGTGTCAACTCTAGTCCTGGGGAGCAAAAATGTTCGAAGGACAAAGACAGCACCAACTTGTTCCTCCAGAAACCTGGATCCTTCTCCAAACTGAGTAAACTGTTAGAAGTAGCAAAAATGCCTCCCGAAATGGACGTTGTGCCACCAAAGCCAAGTGTTTCACCCAATGGCTGTTCGATTCCCTTTCAGAATAAAGGCCGGAGCACTCCTGTCTCACTGCAGCCCGGCACATCTCAATGCAATCCTGAAAAGACAGACTTAAATCCATTTAGTCCTGTGATCAGCGGGTCTGGCAAGTTTTATAATTCTCCAGTAATTCCCAATGAACAGCTGCTAAAAACTCTGACAGAAAGGAGCAGGCAGTGGTTCAGCCTCCTCCCTCGGACACCCTGTGATGACACATCAATAACTCACATAGAATCCTCTGCATCAGTAGCTTCAACAAGCCAATTGTGTCATAATTCCCAGTCTTCATCTCCTGTGCCATCCCCCGTTATGAACTCTTCCTCTACACACAGCTCAATGGGACCCAGTCCCTTCTCGGTTTCCTCACTTCAGGTAAGCATCCAGAAAGGAAGTCTTCCATAAAGGCCATCACTGTAATGTATATTTTTTTCTAGTTCAAAACATTTTTGGGGATTTTTTTTTTTGCTCATATATCAAATATGCTCATTTGCTGTATACAGAGTTCCTACTCCACACAGTCCCCCACAGACTATAAAACCAAAGAAGAATCAGTGTATTTTATGGTCACTTGCAATGCCAGATTTACCAGCAGATCATTTGCAGATCTCAGACTGGTGATAATGTGTATTCTGTATGTCAAACAGCAAAGGCATTTCCCATTGTTCTGGAAGGCCCAGAGGGAAGAAAGAACAAATACAGCCCTGAGAATCAGTATTCTCCATGATGCAATGAATTGATTCAACTAAGAGAGTAAGGCACACAGTGTCTCCCTCTATCAACTGCTACAAAGTTTTGTTTAATTCTATGTCTGTGGGTAATATAAATTATTCTCAGAGAAAGGAACTGTCATAAGCCATTGTTAATGTATCCTGCCAAGCTCTTTGTCAGTTTCTCTGACTTAGGAAAATATTCACTGTTATTAATAGAAATAAGGAAGTTATATCTATCTTGCCATGAAGAAAAACTATAATGTTTTTTCCTATCTAAATGTACAGCTTTTTCCTGCACTGTCAAAGTAACAGACAGCATTGGCTTAGTGAGAAGTAGCTATTGCACAGTGTGTAGGTGATATACATGTTTAATAATATGCTGATGTAAATATTCATTCCGGTATCTAGATGAAGCCTGGTTTACCAGTGATGGGTCTACAGTTTTGCGGGTGGCCATCACCTATTGTTCCAGCAAATCTTCCATTTTCTCCCCCCATGCCGGGGCTTGGGCTATCAGGATTATCTGAAGGAAATGTCCCCTCTTTCCTCACTCCAAATGCTCAGCCGTGTAAAAGTGAATCTCCTGTGCCACAGAGTGACAAATCCATCTGTACCCCTTTACCGGCGGTGGAATTACCAAAACAAATGGATTTCCCCATCCCTAGACCAATACCAGAAGGTAAGATTTCATTTATTTGTGCTCAGTGCATAAACCAACATATTCATCTGATTATATATACAGTACTGTGCAAATGTTTTAGGCACTAATGCAATGAATAGCTTTTATTTGTCAATTAACAACCTACAAAATTAATGAACAGAGAAAACCCAAATCAAATCAATATTTCGTGTGTCTATCATTTACCGTTAAAACATCAATTCATATACTTACTAGGTTTATAAGAAACTCATCGGGTAGGTTGGTCCAAACATTGGATTTAGGCTGTCTCAGGTGCTTCTGTCTCTTCCTGTAATCCTAGACAGACTTGAGATTAGGGCTCTGCGGAGGCTATATTTTCATGCATAGGCTACTCTCATGGTCCTATTCCAATGTCGAAGGTATGAGTTTTTAGTCGCAAGTTTTTCATGAAGACCACTTCTGGCCAGACTTTTCTGGACTGCAGATGAGTGTGCCAGGTTTTGATTTCCCTTCACAAACATTTCTTCGTTCTTAAGGGAATTCAGCATGATGTGTCTTCTTGGCCAACCACTTGGTTTTTGGTGCTCAGCACTGCATGCTTGAACAGCACATTTGGAAACGCCAGTTTGTTTTGAAATTTCTGCCTGTGAGAGATCCTGTTGATGCAATAAGACCACCCTGTGTCTTGTTGCTGTGCTTAGTTTTGCCATTGTGTAAGATTTTTACTATTGAACTGTCTTCAGCTACCTCAACTTGTTAATGGAGCGTGGCTTTTCCTCACCCAGTTTCATTCCTTCTACACAGCTGAATGCTGGTTGATTTAACAATTGTGCTTTACATCTTGTTGATTATTAGCACCTGTTTGGTATAATTGTATCATCATGCACTGAACCATATGCCTGCAGAATCTTTACCAGTAAATGTGTGCAAGTCTACCTAGGAGAATTGATGCTGTTTTGAAGGCAACACACCAAATAGTTATCATGTTTTGCTGTTTATGCACATTGTAGGATGTTAACAACTTACCTAAAATGATTCCATTCTTTCTTATGTTATTTAAGGACAACAAAAGCTGTCCTCTTATATAATAACAAAAGCTAATGCACAGCAAACTTGGAGAAAGTTGTAAAACGCTATAGCCACCTAACTTGCGTAGATTAAAATAATAATATGTCTCTACCAAGTTCCAAATAACCATGAAAAGTGCCCTCAAATACAGGGCTAACAGAAGCAGTTATTTGAGACCTTTTAATCGCCAGTCACATGGCTAAATAAGAGAGTACTAAAATGATAATATTTTAAAGACAAAGATGCTTCAGTTCAACCACATTACCTAATAGTAAAGTACTGACCTTAGTAACAGGATTGTCACATTTTAGTGGGTCTCCCTGATTTCATGTACAGGCAGTGCAGGACCCCTACCAGCAACTCAAAGACCTGTGTGCAGATTACCTGTATGAGCAAGGTCCCTTGTGCTGGGTGACTTCACTAGTTGTTAGGTAACACACCAGCACACTGCTTTTCAAAGGGACTTCCATTCTTTTTAAGGAATCCCTTTGAAATACAACTTAATTTAGTTAATTGCTCTGCTTCTGTAGTGCAAAATGATCTCATGGTCGGGGTGGTCATACACACTTAAGGCTCATTGTTATCTGCACAAAGACTATTTGTTATTTTTAGCAACAGCTAATAATACTTTAAGGGGTTGGAAAAAGCTTTTCAGCCTACACTGCAGCTGGCAATACAGCCTTATCAGGTTCCATCTTCAGCCTAAGGATAGGACATTAAAGCAGCAACATGACAAGGTTGAGCTCATCTCTGTATTCTGCCCTCCTGCAAGCATGATCATGTTGTTAGAATGGCAACACTGTGTAAAGCAACACAGCCCTGACTAGCTGAGAGTGCTAAACTCTTCCAATCTGAATATTGCTGTGCAGAGGATTACAGAATGTTAATAATATCAAGACAGATGCAGGTACTTATGCTAGTTCTGAGTAATAATATATTTTAAAAGGGTAGATAATTCAATTAAACTGTGTTTGTTTTATATCTGCCTGGATATCAGCTTTGAATCAATACATAAAAAATTGCTTTAACAGAAATAAAGCACATCCAAAATGAAATAATCTCATGAATATTTTACATATGGTCATGCTTTTACTGACAGAAATGCAGTTTGGCTGGTGGAGAATCACAGATCCGGAAGATCTCAAATCTTTATTGAAAGTGCTTAATCTCCGAGGAATAAGAGAAAAGTCTTTACAGAAGCAAATTCAGAAGCACTTAGACTACATCACCCTAGCCTGCCTGAGAAACAAAGAGGGTAAGCGTCCTGCTGACAAATGAAATGCTGGCTGAGGCCATAAACTCAACAGCCTCATAATATGCGTGAGCAGAATTTTACCGATATTTTATAAATAAAGTCTTTAAACATTAGGAACTTTCTGTGGGACATTTGTTCTGTGTCCATTGCAGATAATTTAGGAGTCCTTACTTTTCTGTTGCGTCTAATAACTGTTTCTGCTCCTGTAGCTATCATAGACGTGAAAGGACGTGACAAATGTGAGCTGACACGAGACGTGGTGGAGAATTGGTGTGTGGAAGACCATGAGATGGAGATTGACATCGCTATTCTCCAGCAGGTAGAAGATCTGGAGAGACGAGTGGCTTCTGCTAGTTTACAAGTTAAGGTAATAAAGAGCGACGCTCCGATTGGATTGGTTTCATTTGAAAAGCCATGTCACATAGCCCAGGGAGCAGGCAGCCACATTATTCAGACCTAAATGCAAGAAAAAGAAAAGTTCAATTTCTTCTTTCAAGGCAGCGTCTTCTAATGCCTCATCCAACTTGCTGATAGCCAAGTCTTTTTCAAGTGAATTATTTTTAAAGCTACCCTGTCAGGGTAAATAAATAAATAAAGGGAGGTGCCCTACAATGGAACAGCTTTTTTGCTCAGCTACTAAAAAGAAAATAAAAATGACTGAGAATGGAGTCAAAACATGCATCAAAATGACCTCTGTAAAACCACCTTAATATGGGAATTACCAAAGGCTCAAAACAATACTATAGTATGTCTACCTTCCACTGTTCAGTAAATAATCTATAAACATATAGTGAAAACTGTCAAGATTTATATATACATATTTAAAAAAAACATTTGCCAGGGAAGAGTATAAACTTACTCAATGTGCATATAAGATGAAAAACTCCCCAAAATGCTACAAATACAGATTTCCTTGTCGGAAATCGGTACACATATGTACAGGAAGCAAGTACTTTCCCAAGTGTGGATTGGCAACCTAATATAACATTACTTGTTGTTATGTTACAAGTGTTGGATTTTATAATAGAGGATACAAAGCTTGCAGTCATTCAGCAAACATTATGATATCTGAACTGATTGTGAAGAGGAAATCTGCAGATGTAGCACTGTTTTTAATATGTTTTAATGATAAAGTGTGATTTTTGTATATGCATACCATGACGGTTTTCATTGTATTTTCATACATTATGTACAATACAGTGTAATCTAGAAATAACATATTTATGAGCCTTTAGTAGAAGTCCCCATATTGAGTTGTTGTTTTATTTCGGAAATGTAATACTTACCTCTCTAAGCGTCCTGTGTCTCTTACCTTCACTCCATTCCAGGGCTGCAGCCTCAGTCAGTCTCTTAAGCATTAGTGATGGGCTCGGGCGTGTTCGCAGCTCCACGTGCCGAGCCCGCCAGGAAGCTGACATCGCCGCAGCGCCAATCACAGGCACTGAGACATATCCCGATCTTTGCAGCTGTGGACCGGGATAATGTCTCAGTACCTGTGATTGGCGCTGCGGTGCTGTCAGATTCCTGGCGGGCTCAGCACGTGGAGCTGCGAACACGCCCGAGCCCATCAATATTCAGCATTCATTACTTCTGGGAGTATGAGATACCTGTGCCACCCGCCATACCCAGTGACTCAGTCCCCCAACCCCTACATCATTACAACATACAGCAGTGATATAGGGGTCAAAAGATTGTAGATGATGTTAGCCCTTACGTGTGGAAAAAAAAGTTATATAATTTTTTCCCAATGGACACAGAGACAGCAGTAACAATAGATTAAAATTGTAATCCTTCCCCAATTTAATAATAAAAACAGTATCAGTGTGATAGCTTTCCATTCCCCCAACAGTCAGGTTAGCATTCTTTTGAAACCCCAAAACTTTATGGTATTATGTAGACTAAATTTCATATCCCACAATCTAGGGTCCCAAAAATATCCTGTTGCCTCATTTGGCATCTAAAGCCATAGGCTGCACCCCTCTGGTCTTTGTAAATGTTAGTCAGATAATTAGATAAAACCAGATTTCTTTTAAATTTTAATCAGTAAGTCAATAAAATGGTTGTAAAGTCAATGTCATATAAGTCAATAAAATGGTTGTAAAGTAAATGTCATATAAGTCAATAAAATGGTTGTAAAGTCATGGTCTTATAAGTCAATACAATTGTTGTAATGTCATGGTCTTATAGTGAATGCCTGTACCATGGATTATATTCTAACAATTCTCTTGCTGCTTAGGGCTGGATGTGTCCAGAACTCGCCTCCGAGAGAGAAGACTTGGTTTATCATGAACATAAGTCAGTTACTAAAAGGCACAGGGACAATGATGGTGAGCAACATCCAGCAGACGGAGGAGCCAATCCATGTACTCTTGAACGGAGGAGCGACAACCCTCTAGATATAGCAGTAACCAGGCTGACTGACTTGGAGAGGAACATTGAAAGAAGGTATCTGAAGAGCCCCTTAAGTACCACCATTCAGATCAAACTGGATAATGTGGGCACAGTTACTGTCCCTGCTCCTGCACCATCTATTAGTGGTGATGGTGACGGGTAGGTCATTGACATTAATATATATAACCAATCATTGTGCTTCTTTGCTCAGTGGAGCCTGTTATCTTTTGCCTGTTCTCTTTGTAGCTTCCTGTGTGTCTTTTTACAGGTCATGTTATCCTGCATGGTGCTTCTGTACAATAATCTGTGTTATGTATGTCAGCAGTCCCAAAAAGCAATGAAAGATATCTAACTTGAAACTGACTGTGGCTAAGCTGTAACACTCCTAGTCAGTCTGGGTCTCATTCATCAAAGTGTCTAATAGAGAATAAGTCATGAATATGCTTTGTCAAGAATCTGAGTATTCAGTCTTAAATTGTAAAATTTTCTTAGGAATACTTGTCCCCTTACTTGGATTTACCTACTTGAGTATAACTTTTTAGTATACAAAAAGTCATGGGAGACAGATCACCATATAGGCATATTAAACAACTAAGGGGTTCTTTAAAAGAGAACTATGGCCAGGGCCGGAATTCCCACAAGGCCAACCAAGGCCGGGCCTTGGGGCAGCAGGGAGTAGAGGGCAGCAGGGGTGTGGAATTCCTATCTTCTGATGCCCTGGACATGCACTTCCGGGCGCCGGGCCGGTAGTAGTTTTCTACATTTAGCCCTGCTTTGGGCAAGCAGAGCTAAATGTACAGCGGGGAAGCCGCCGCTTGTTTTGTGATGTCTCCGAGATCACTTGCATGCAGCCTACTGGTCTGCCATTCTCCATGGGTGGTTGGCGGGTAGGAGGGCGCATTGAGGAACCTGGCCTTAGGGCAGCAGAGAGAGTAAATATGGCCCTGACAATGGCCAAACCTTTTTTGGTGTCTCTTTTGGGTCACAGGAGGACATTTACTAATGTCCTCCTGTGACCCAAAACTCAACATACAGCGGGCTATTCCCTGCTATATGCTGACAGCGCAGAGCCATGCTGTAGCTTAGAAAGATCCTGACAAGATTGTCAGGATCCACCCCACTGCCTTATTGACAGCAGGCTCTGCCTCTACAGAGCCAGAGCCAGCTGTGCCCATCCCTTCCCCTGTCTGTCCCTCCAGTCAGCGCGGGAGGAACAGAGAGGAGAGGGGAAGGGGAAAAAAAAGTGAACTGAGCAATCAGTGATTTGGGATTGCTCAGTTCTTGATCAATAGAGCATACTTTTGACAACTGCAGTGTCACACGTTGGCTCTAACTATGGACAAGAGCGTATTTCACTCTCCCCATAGTTCTCCTTTAATAGAGACTGTTTGTCAGACTCAGAAGCTGGTAGACGGTGTGAGAGATCGCACAGTAGACAGGGCAGTAACTGTTGAATATTTGGTGACTTCCTACCCCTGATTCTCAAGCTGAAGACTCAGGCTCAGGCAAAGTACATAAAGCTGAATAAATGGAGCAGAAATAAATATGTAATGACCTTTACAACTATAACACTTTAATACAGAATATTTCGATTCTTGCATAAGCCCTAATGTGACTCATTCTATCAAGAATTGTCTGCGATGCATTATAGAAGATTTATATGCTTACTGCAAAATGACAGTTAATCCAAATTGGAATATGATTGGCAGCCAGGAACACACAGACAATTTCTGTTTCAGCCACTTTGATAGTCAGGCTCTCTATGCTCCAAATTCAGTAATTTTGCTTTAACTTTGTACATACTGGCTGTTTATCCCTGTATTGTCACTGCTTGGCTTTTCAGTGTGATTTTGACTTATATCTGATTCGGGACAATCATTGAGCATTTTCTTACACTGTTACACTGCAGGGCTGAGGATGACATTGCCCCGGGCTTGAAGATTTGGAGGAAAGCACTCTCAGAAGCACGCAACGCAGCACAAGTATCACTCTGCATTCAGCAACTACAGAAATCTATTGCATGGGAGAAATCCATCATGAAAGTTGTACGTTGTCCTAAGTTTTAATGTTCATACGTTTTAGTACAGGTTTGCTGATCTGTCTAAAGACGACCATACATGTGATTGATCTAGGATTGATCACAAACAAGCTATTCATCATCAAACAGTGCAACACACACAGCACTGATATAAGCTTTGTGATCAACTGAAAATATAGATCCAAAACACAAGCAATCAGTCATAAATGCAAAGGATTTGTGTTATGTCTGGTTCTCCAGTACATACACAAGCATGTGAAGTGAGCGGTCAGCATAATTGCACCAAGCAGTCCTGATTTATATCATCTGTCAAAAATTAACTAATAGGCTAACCGTCTACCCACTCATAAGGAACTAAGAATAAATATAAATAATTTTGATATTTGTGAACACAGTAACAAAATGCAAAACAAATGGATATATTTGTATAAAACACCATAGGGACTCCATCAATAATAAAGTTAAGGATCACAAATGTTAACTGTATCAACAATTCATCCAAAATAAATCCTTTAAAGTAAATCCCTCAGTATTTTGAGGAATTTATTTTGAATCATTTTTGATCTAGTTAAATTTCGTATTGCTAGTTTTGTTATTGCTGGGGTTCCTATGGTGTTTTATACAAATACAGCCATTTTTTTAACTTTTAAATAGTATTTATTAAAAGCGATTTTTTATTGAATTTTTATTTTCTGTGTTTTGCAATTATGATTGTCACTGTGTTCCCTAATCTCAAATGTACGTATACCTAGTCTTAAAATGACACCATGGTTGGTTGACATGGCAGGGTCTAAATTAATCAAGAGCTCTCTGTATCAACTGACTGAAGGGCTTCTGTTTTTGTTATTTGTATTCGATCAGTTTGGTCGCATAAAATGATCTATTGAATGATCATGTTGATACATGTGTGCTCATCATTAAGTCATCAGCACAGCTTGATTCAGCAGAACATAACTGCAAGGGCTCGTTCACACCAGTTGCGGTGACTGGTGTTTTTCCACACTGGAATGGTGCCAGTCACCACAAGGGAACACAAAAACAATTGTTTTCCATGTGCCCCATTCACTTTAGAAGGCTAGTGTTATGTGCAGCACACTGGATGGTACCAGAGGTCACCACACTACAGTGCAGTGCAGAGACCTGTATGGAGTGCACACTTTGTAGTACACTGCCAATAAAGTTGAAAAAAAAAGTAAACTGTGTCTTGCACTGTAACAACGCAAGGCACTGCTCCACCACACTGCCACCCAGAGGACACCAGCCGCATCCTAAAACGGATCTTTTTTACCGTGCGGCTGGTGTGAACCCAGCTTGAATGTTCAAATCAGCCTCTGCTTAGAAACCCTTACAATCTAATTATCTTATCCGCACACATATCCACTGGGACCAGTTTGGGCATAAACCAAGAGAAAGCATACAGTCTTTCAGCAGAAAGTACCCTGCTGTGAACTGAACGTGGAATCCCAAGGCCAAAAAGTCCCCATATTGCTCATCAGAAAAAAATCGGACTACTGAAAGATCATTTCCTATGGATTGTGTGCTCAAAAGACACCCCTTTCTCATGCTCCAGTAGTGTCTCCAGGGAAGCATAGTCTGTCATTCAGGAATATGAATCCCAGCTTGCATCTAACAGCAAGAGGTGACAGCTTATGTGATCAGCCAGTGATCCGGTAACAGGTAATGTCAATGGGTACCTTTAGAAGCTTACCTGTTCTTTGTGAAATATGCAAATTAGCGCAAGGTTGCCACATTTCCTACTGTTTCTTTTTCTTTATTTTCTGAATCTACTTTCAGAACTTTCTCTCAGCATGATAAGTTGTGAAACAGTAGACACCCCAACCCTTAGCCAAAAGTCAGACAGAGCAACCAATTTTTAGTTGGTGTACTGCACTCTTGTTTGACATTGCTAAATATTCCTGTTTATTAGGAGACAGAGGTGTAAGGATGTTACTAACAAACTTCATCCTGACTGGTATCTACTGCCAAAAGTATAATTGTCATCAGGCATTGAGAACACTATTAAAACAGCAAAAAAATTATATAGTTACTGTACAGGACATATGATGAGTAAACTTCTCCCTGCGCGCCAGTAGTAACATCCAGGAGTATGGAGTCTCAGTTGTTGTAGGGAAGCAGAAAGGAGGGAGAGTAGCTGAGCTAAAAGACTCTCTTATCAGTTGGTCAGGTAAATGTGACAAATGGCAGACCCCTATTAACCTGGAGAGAAATGGGGCTATGATAGAGATCAAGCTACAACCTTCATTCTCAGTAAACTGGGGAACAGCACAGTTGATCAAAACCTCGCAATTGCCTGTTACTCAACAAAGGAGGATGTACTTGTAGGCAGTCAGTGTCTGATGAGCAGGAAGCATGTCAATACAGACAGTACAAATGGGTTGACTTCTCTGTGCCAATTGTAATCTTTATCAATGTCAGTCTAAGGGTTGGGAGTCCACTGCTGCTACGTTGCTCAGGTCCCCATTTAATCTGTCTCTAGGCAAAGCGGAAGTTCAATAAAAGCTGAACATTACTGAAGTAAGACGGGAATAAATTTACCTGTTTTCTTTAACCTGTATTTTTTTACAACAGATAATGTAGTGTGCACTTTAAAATGAAGCTCATGTCATCATAAATCAGATTTGGGGTGGGGTAGGAGTGTTACCGGACAATAATGAATTCTCTGCCACCCAATGTTGTTCACTGCTCTTGTTTTATGTGTATGTTGCAGTACTGCCAAATTTGCCGCAAAGGAGATAATGAGGAATTGCTGCTTTTGTGTGATGGATGTGATAAAGGATGTCACACGTACTGCCACAGGCCCAAAATCACGGTTATACCAGAGGGTGACTGGTTCTGTCCTGCCTGCATTGCAAAGGTAAGACATTCCCCACCTTATGGGAACTAATGAGCTCAATATCTATCTATCACAACAAGCCAGGTAAGGTTATTTGGGCATAGAGCATCATATTATATGCCCCTTGGAGGCAGCTATTCCAAATGTGCCCAGAAATGATGAGACCCGGAGGTACTCTGAGCATGCTGGAGTCTCATTCATATATGACCCTGTAGGCCTGGGAGCACATTAGCATCACTTGGAAGTAGGGATACACCGATACCGTTTTTTCAGTATCGAGTACGAGTACCAACATTTATATTTTGATACTCCCTAATACCGAGTACCAATACCAGTACTCTCCCTAGCATGGAGCCAGCTTCCCAGGCAATCAGGAAGCCGGGCTGCGGGGTAATGACACACCACCAGTGTCTTGATTGCCTGGGAAGCCGGCCCCATGCTGTTTGACCCGCTCCATGCTGATTGGCCAGGGAGCCAGCCAATCAGCATCGAGCCGGCCAAACAGCTCCATGTTCCCTCGCAGCACTGCCGGTGAAAGAAAATCTCACTCTGACCCAAAGTTCCGGTATCCGGGGTAAGTATTGAAGCATTTAGGTGAGTACAAGTACTTTCCCAAATACTTGGTATCAGCACAGATACTGACACTATTATTGGTATGTATATCGGCCATTGAAAACAGTATGCGTTGTTTTCATTCCAGGCAAGCGGACAAACTTTAAAAATGAAGAAGGCGAATCTAAAAGGGAAAAAGATTTCTGAGCCGAAGAAAGGAAAAAAGGCATCCGGGGAAGCAGAGGATGAAGATACTGCAGCAACCGGTGGTTCCGGAAAAAAGGGGATCAAAGATACTAAAAAAAGAAAAATAGAGGAAAATAACTCTAGTCCCTCAAAACAAGACACTCCGCCTGCATCTAAGAAGTCAAAACACCACACTAAGGATGATGCCAAGGAGCTGGCTTTCTGCAGGTCAGGCATTTTGTACCAGTTAGCTTAAAGGAGAACTGTGGGGTTAAGGCTTTTCCCCATAGTTCTCCTAAGGGTAACGGGAGGACACAAACTAGCGTCCTCCTGTTACCCAAAGCTCAGTATACAGCTTGCGGTATATTGAGACGGCGCAGCTGAAACGGATCCCGACAATTATGTCTGGATCCGCCCAGCTGCGTGAGTGACAGCTGGCTCTGCCTATCTAGAGGCAGAGCCAGCTGTACCCGCCCCCTCCCCTGTCCGTTCCGCAAGTCAGCGCTGGAGGATCGGAGCGGGGAGGGAGGAATCCAGTCCCTCCCCTGCCATGGCTCTCTGCCGGGACATAATGGAGAAGTGAGCGAATGCCGGTATGTGTTGGCTCACTTCCCGATCTACTGAGCCGGCCTGTGACAGTTTAATTGTCACAGGTCGGCTAGAACTATGAGGCTGAGTGAAAAGCAATCACCTCATAGTTCTCCTTTAATCTGTTAAAGAACCTATGCATACAACAGACACACACACAAAACTGAATCGAAACCTTTGGCATACATTATATATCCAGGGTCCCATTCCCTAACAAAATTCCCTAGATGTCAGTTTGACAGCTGGCTTTGGCTGAGGAGTGCTAACAGCAGCCCCTTTGTGAATAAAACTTGTTAAACCTGTTTGCAGGCTTCATTCATAAATACTCTGTAACAATATTGTGACATTGTATTATGATTGGGCTTATTTTATTTGATTGATTCTCAATCACATAAAAAGAACTAGCAAGTGTTTACCATGCAGTTATGAAAGTGGTGTAGTAGTTAGCACTTCTGCCTTGCAGCACTGGGGGTCTCTGGTTGAAATCCTGGTCTGGACACTATCCTCATGGAGTTTGCATGATCTCGCTGTGCTTGCATGGGTTTCCTCCCATGCTCCAAAGACATGGCACAGTCACACAAGCACATCAATTTGTTAACAATTCAATCAAACTACCACTGTGGGCTTTGATAGGGAAAACCATAAAAAATGTGGAGAAAATATAAATTCTATGCAGCTAATGTGCTGGAATTTGAACTCAGGACCCCAGTACTGTAAGGCCTCTTTGCAGCACCACACTGCCCAGATTGTATTAAAAGTACAAAACCAAACCAAAACCCAGCTGTACTTTTATTCAGATGTGAAAGTACAGCTGGGTTTTGGTTGGCTGATAGTCCATTTCTATTTCGCATTATACTGTGGGGTGCTGTGGCTCCTTCTCTTCTTTCTAACTGTTATTTACTAACCATAGAATAACTGCTGCAGGGTAACTTGTACAATTGTGGGTCAAGCAGCGTGAAGAGGAATTATGAAGGACAAGAACCCAGCTAAATCCTCTACATTAGGCTTCATCTGGAAGCGGAGACATTACTTTGTACCTTATACTGTATAGTGAGGGTTGTAAAACAGCCAGGATGACCCAAACTACACCCGAATGCAATGAAGCCTCACATGAGCTTTGTCTAGGAGATCTTTGATGGAGGAAAAACTTCAAGGAGAATATATAACGATGACACTATATAAATGTCATACAGTCCCAGATACATCTGAGAAATCAATATTTGTTTCCTGTGTAGTGTCTGCCTTGGTTAAATCTGTTCTTTTATCTTATCAGTGCAATTTTGTCTGAGATGGAATCTCATGAGGATGCCTGGCCTTTTCTGCTTCCTGTTAACTTGAAACTTGTCCCTGGCTATAAGAAGGTCATTAGGAAGCCCATGGACTTTGCAACCATCCGGGAAAAGCTCAGTAGTGGGCAGTAAGTATGGCTGTTGTTCCCCATCATTTTAGTTTAAGTTACATGACATTAAAAGAACAGAAGGATATGTCGCGTACAGTTAATATAAAGTAAGAACTGTTTGTGTGCCTCCCAATTTTTTTTTATATAGTGTGAAGGTGAGACTCCTTTTAGATATAACCTTGCCATACCCCTAAACTGAATTTCAGGCACCTTAAAATAAGAAAGAGCCAATGGTACCATATGTGCAAAGTTACTTATGGGCTCACTAAAGAAAAATAGACTGCAAGGAACAAACAGCAGTACCGTCAACATACCCATCTTGTACTGATTTAACTTAAAGTGGAGTTAAAAGCAAACCAGCTTTATTTTGGATAGAGCAGGGGAAGGTTATAACCCCTGTCCAGAGGCGTAACAATAGCCATAGCGACCCAGACGGCCGCTACGGGGCCCAGGCACAGGGGGCCCGGCCAGGACACCCCCCTGATGCCGTGCGTGCCGTTTGTGTTTGAACGCGCCGCTGTTCAGATCACCGTGATCTGTGCAGCGCTGCGTTCTTCTCCATAGCCGCTGCTGAGTCAATGAGAGTCAGCAGCGGCAGTGGAGGAGACTGGACGTGGCAGGTAGCAGCCATGTGAGCCAGCAGCAGCCATTGATGTGTGCACTCACTGCAGGGGGCGGACCTCCTCTCAGAAAATATATAATTATTTGGGAGTTTTAAGTTGTTTTCTAGCCACAAATTCAGATTTTATCATGTGTGTGTGTGCGAATAGTAAGACATTTCTCAGGATGGGAAGCGGTTAAGCAACCCATAAAATGCATCTTTTTCTTTTCCAGATATCCAAACTTTGAGGCTTTCGCTCTGGACATCAGACTTGTGTTTAACAACTGTGAAACGTTCAATGAAGACGACTCTGAGATAGGCAGGGCTGGACACAAAATGCGGACACATTTTGAAAAAAGATGGACAGAAGTTTTCAACATGAGCTGAAATCCTTCAACAATCCTCCACTCTCGTCGTTTGGATTACAAGACCAGCAATGTGAATGACCTCTAAATAAATAAAATCTGAATAGTCTCCTGCAGATCATGAGTGGCACATTACAAATCACTCCAGTTACAACCACGGTTCTTAGTTCATTTGTTTTTTTGCTGGTTTTTTTTTTGGGCCTGTACATTTTACCAACTTCAGCCTCATACTAACAAGAACATACGCCCGAAAAAAAAATTTAAAAAAATCTCAAAACAAAATTAAGAAAGGCGTCCTTGTGCAATAGCTAAAAAAAAAAATATAAAAATATATCGAAAACGCACTGATTCTTCAACCACCAGAGCTGTACCGGGGGGAAAACGGTTACCCATTCTCTTTTCGATAAATATCTATTTTTTATTGATTTAATGTTATTTTGTTTATTTTTGTATTACTTTGTAGCTCATTGTTAGTGAATGTATTTAATTTTATGGATTATTTATGAATTAAACGGCAGAAAGAATCTTCGTTTTCTGTGAAAAGGAAGAATAAGGAATATTGCTTTAAATCTTGAAAATACAGTGAGAATGTTAAAGAAAAATAAAAAAAAAAACACTAAAGAAAAAAACAAAAAAACAAGCCAAGTAAAACTGTTTACACCGCTGTGCTAAAAATGGCATCAACACTTTACTGTAAAGTAGTACATTTATATAAGTATACATTGCTGCATCGTTCATGTAGTCAAATTGTATTTCAAGATGGTGAAGAAAAACAGATCTGTATATACTGTTGACAATTGTTTATATTAAGTCTTGTTTAATATGTATGATGTGTACATATTGTTTGCAGGCATTGATTATGATGTCTGTTTTAGAAGGACTGTAGCATTTTATTTTAGCCGGGTAATAATAACCTATTGCTTGTACAGAATCCTCTACCGACACTGTGGAGTCTCCCTAATATTGGTAGTGCCTGCCTTTAAAACAGGGTGTAGGGGATATATTTCAGTTTGGTTTTTTTTTTTTTTCTTATGTTTATTTTATTTTTTATATTATTTTGTTATTTTCATTATTTTCTAATTTTGTTACATGATTTACTGCCAAGTAGGCCTAAAAAAAAAAAAAAAAAAAGTATACTCATTTGTATCCATGTGAGACAAAACATATGACAGATTTCTTAACACACAGTATTTTTTCATAGATACATTTCCCTTCATCTGCCTTGCCACAAAAACAGTAATAATAATAATAAAAAATAAAAAGGCATTTGTAACCACTGTGTTTTATCTACTGTGTGGTATAGTGGCCTGTTGGAGGCAAAAAAAAAAAAAAGATCAGACATTTTTTTGTACCAATTGTACTTGAAGTTGTTTTATTTAAAACGAAAATGTTGTGAAAAGGGTAGTTTTTTTCACTAGTTTGTGTGGCACGGATACAATTAAAGACTGTTTTGCAATACATGTGATGGGTTTGTATGTCTGTTTTTTACCTCACAGCAGCATTTCTTTTTTTTTTTTGTGTTTGAATTTTTTTATTAGATTTTTCAAATATAACCATTTAGCAAAAAACAAAAACAAGGGGCGCCTTTCCTAGTGTAGATACATTTTTATTATCAAAACGGCAAAAGTAGGATAATACTCACAAAAGAGTAGATGACAATGAGCCTTCAAAAATAAGCGTTGATCCTCATTTTAGCAAAGAGCAAAACAACAGCATATAAGAGCTGCACAGATAGTGTTCCTGTGTGCCAGCAAGGTATGCCTCAGTTGATGCGTTTCCGGGGCCACGCCCCCTTCCTCAGAACCTGACCTCCTCCTCCTTCACATTGAATTAAAGGAGAACTATGAAGTGAGTGCTTTTCACTTATCCTCATAGTTCTAGCCGACCTGTGACAATGAGACTGTCACAGGTTGGCTTAGTAGATCGGGAGGTGAGCGAACACATACCGGCTTTGGCTCACCTCTCGATCCTGTCACGGCAGAGAGCTGTGAAGGGAGGGACTGGATTCCCCCCTCCACGCTCCAATCCTCCAGCGCTGACTGGCGGAACGGACGGGGGAGGGCACAGCTGGCTCTGCCTCTAGATAGGCAGAGCCAGCTGTCACTCACGCAGCTGGGCGGATCCCGGCATAATTGTTGGGATCTGCTTCAGCTGCGGCGTCTCAGTATACCACGAGCTGTAGCTCGCGGTATACTGAGCTTAGGGTGACGGGAGGATGCTAGTTTGTGTCCTCCCGTTACCCTGAGGAGAACTATGAGGAAAAGCCCTAACCCCATAGTTCTCCTTTAACGCAAGGGCCACTTACCATAGATACAGTAGAATAGTGAAGCAGAACATAATTGGGGTGTTGAAAGAGGTTGGGATGGACAAGGGATTGTGAGATTCTTTGAGTTCTTCAGTTCAGGGCTGCATGTAGCTGGGAATGGTTGCTGGTGGTTGCATGGGTCTGATTGGTGGGGGCATTTTGTGTTTGGACTGGAGGGGATATCAGTTTCTCTTGTACACATATAATATAAATTAGGCAACAATTAGCAAAAACTGTCTATATTTACGTGTCTTTCAGCCTTCACGAAAATGGTGGTGGTGAAAGTTAGGCTCTTCGCATAGCGCCGAACTTTATGGGATGTTCACGGTCTGTTCGACCGCGGACATTCCATAATACAAAATGCCCACTGAAGCTCTGATTTGTTAAAGTCTTGCACCTGACCACAGGTCAGGTGCAAGACTTTGCCCAATCAGGGCTCAGCGGAGGAGGGGCCTGAAGGAGAAAGTTCTCTATCAGGTCCCCCTATGCTGATTGACAGCAGGCAGTGGGCGGTTGCAATAGCCAGCTTGCTATTGGCTATTGCATTTTACAATATCCAATAGCAGGCTGGGTATGGCTCCCAGCCTGCAGACAAAGAGGAGGCAGGGGGGCGGGACAGAGATGCCGCGGCCGGACCGAAGAAGAGAAGCCGACGGACCGGGGGAAGAGGAGGCCGGGACAGCGAGCGGACGGACCAGGGGACCGGAGACCGGGACAGGAGCGGAGGTAAGGGGGTCAGTACACAGTATTTATTACATGTACCGGCAGCTGTATGGGGGTCGAACATTCGACCCCCATACACTTGCATTGAGTTCGAGTTCGTATTCGAACATTTCGGCCGTTTGAATGTTCGAATACGAACTGAACAGGGGGTGTTCGGCTCATCCCTACTCAGCACCCCCCTGCACTGTCACTGAGCTGCCGCCATGTCACTACTTACGATCGTGAGCCAATACGATGGGCTCCAGATGAAAATGACAGCCAATCACATGATCAGGAGTCTGCACAAAGAACCCCCTAAAGGGCTGGCGTGAGCCGGCAATAAGGGGGTTCAATTATTTACGTATTCTTAACAAGCAGTAACCGAATATGATTATTTTTTTCCAACCTTTTTAAAGTGTTTAAAATTATCTTTGAATTATTTATTTTAGCGCCGGGGGCTTTGGGGAAATATCAGGGGGGATCTAAACAGACCCCTGATATTCCCCTTTTGAAATAGATAAAAAGATTGAGGACACAAAGTCCTCAATCTCTTTTTCTGCAGCCCTTATTATAAATGAACAGGAATCCTCTATACTGAGTGCTCCTGTCCATTCATAAACTGAGTAGATAGTATGAGTTACTGTGTCCACAATCATGAATGAACAGGAAGCGATGTAGAGCACTTCCTGTTCATAACGGGACACAGTGAGCTTACTATGTCCTCAATTATTTACAATAATTTATTTTTCAGCGATCACTCCTCATTGTTGAGTGTTTGTACTCCACGCTCCATCCTGACACGCTGTCACAGGAGGCTGAGCGGGACAGTCAGGCCCGGATTCCCCACTTCGCGGCCGTACGCCCACCTCATTTGCAGGTCCGTAGGGGTGCGGGTTTTCAGGCCGGGACGCATACAGGATCCATTCCGGCGGCGTATGAATACGATCACCCGCACCCCTACGGACCTGCAAATGAGGTGAGCGTACGGCCGCGTAGCCCCATAGAGAAGGACGGGGGCTGCGTTCTAATCACACGCAGCACCTGTCCTTCCCGGCAGCTACTTGGTACGGCCCCGCACGGAGGTGTAGGTGCAGGCCGATTCGTGTGTGAATGAGGCCTTAATCAGCTGATCCCCTATTGCCCTTTCCATGCGATAACAGTCACATGACAGCCCTGTCACCCAGCCCATCCCCCCCGGGAAGTAATTAGACGGAGAGACGGTGAAGAGGGAGCGTGACATCACCTCCGTCCCCTCAGCGATCCGCCCTAGTCCCGCCCCCTGCCTGTCAGCCGCCGCACAGTCAGGTAAGCGTTCTGCGCGATACAGGGGTCCGGACTGTCCCACCGTGCGAGCAGCGCGGGGGGAGATTAACCCTTCCTGAACCTCAGATTAGGAGCAGACAGCGAATACCTCACAGCACTGTCTAGGGTTCGGTGCCGGGTTTACGCTTCTTGCCTTTCCAAGGGCTCCATGTATGGAAAATTCTTACATTGCAATGTGAGCACCCCTCTGATGAGTGTTGTCAGAATCCTACATGCTGAAGCAGGGGTGACCGTGTGTTCTCACTATAGTGTGAAAAGGAATTAATGGAGTTGCTGGGATTTGTAGTGCTATGTGGTGTCATTGTGTGTGTAGTGTTTCTGTGGAAAGGAATGGAGTTGCTTGGATTTGTAGTGGTGTCAGGCTTTGTGTGTGAAGGAATGGAGTTGCTGGGATTTGTAGTTCTATGTGGTGTCATTGTGTGTGTAGTGTTTCGGTGGTCGGTGGGAGGAATAGAACCCCATCCTTGGTATCGGTGGGAGGAATAGAACCCCATCCTTGGTATCGGTGGGAGGAATAGAGCCCCATCCTTGGTATCGGTGGGAGGAATAGAACCCCATCGTTGGTATCGGTGGTAGGAATAGAACCCCATCCTTGGTATCGGTGGGAGGAATAGTGCCCCATCGTTGGTATCGGTGGGAGGAATAGAGCCCCATTCTTGGTATCGGTGGGAGGAATAGTGCCCCATTCTTGGTATCGGTGGGAGGAATAGTGCCCCATCCTTGGTGGCAGTGGGAATAAAAAGATGACTGTACATTGTTTAATATGGATGTGTGCAGCGATTGTGCAGCTGTGAGATGTCATGTGGAAAATTGTGACCTTGAAACACATTGATGTCATGCATTTGGACAATGTTAGTTTACTGGTGAACATTTCAGGCACACATTGTATATCTGATACACGGCACACTGTTGTATTCACCAATTTGTCATGTGTTTATATTTGCCTGTGTACCGGGTGGAGAGGCATGACCAGTACCGCACGGCCAATCTCACACGCAAAGTATTCCATTCCTCGTTTGTTTGTCAAGTTTGATATTCGGAGAGGAAATAATGTTTACGAGTTTCCAATTGTCATCCAAGTTTACATTCGTTTTGTGTGAAAAAATGGCAAACACAATCTTAAAGTGACACTAAACTCTGTAGTTAAATCTTAAAAATACATTCAAGAACCTTATCTATTAATCAAAATGTATCTTATTTGTGTATCACTCGGCTGTAGATCCTCAAATCATCTCTGAATTGGTGCTGACACTGTCCTTCCTTCTGGAGGGGGGCTACTTTTGTTCCCCATGGTCCCTGTGTGTGTTGTAAAGTAGACACCACTCCAAGCTCACTCCCGTGATCCGTGATGGACTACAATCTCAATACAAATCAGTAAAGCAAACATGAGATTTGTTTTAGTGGACAGAATGTCATCACTTTTGTTTTTGTCTTAAAGTGACATTTAGGGCCTGTTCACATGAGATCAGGTGCTGATCAGCAGACGTGGAGCTGCTGATGCAGTGCGTTTTTGATGCGTTTTCGGTCCGGATGCTGACAGTTCATTTATTTTTTTTTAGCCAAGGGGCTGTCAGCATGCAGATTCAGCCTCCTGAGGTTTTTTTTTCACTTAGCTGCATTGTGTTGCGTTTCCGTTCCGTTTTTGATGCGTTTCGTGCGCGTTTGTGCGTTTCCAGACAGGACAAAATGTGACATGCAGTATTGCTGAACGGACTGCGCACGTGAGAACTGTAGCCCATAAAACACACAGGGATACAGTGGGATGCATTTTTAGTGCAGCAGCGTACGGAGCCGGTCAGCACACAAAACGGACGTCGTGTGAACAGGCTCTAAACCCTCAGATTTTTTAACATACACCAATATTGTAATGTGTGCCTTACTGTAATCCATGGTAGTTTCCCTTCTCTTTGCTGCTCTTCCCCTTTTAAATCCTCATGTCTTCTCATGCTTGGGGAGAACTTCCCTTTGCAGCTGAGTGCCTCTTCCTGTAGTGCTGGCTCAGGTTGCAAACCTACACACAGACACCATGTATCCATTTCAGAGACAAGGCAGTCTGCTGCAAAACAGAAGTTCTGCCTAGCATGGGAAGAGATACAGATTTAAAAGTAAGAGCAGCAAAGAAAAGGGAAACTACCATGGATTACAGTAAGTCACACATTACACTATTGTTTTTTGTTAAAAAAATCTGAGGGTTTAATGTCACTTTAACTGCATTTGTATGGGGGGCCTGTCACACCTTCAGGAGTGGGTTCCAGTGTGTTCGTCATCTGGAACGCAACCCGGCCGGCTCACTTTGTTTTGGGGCGGGAGGTGGCATGGTGGTGCATTGAGCTCAATGGCACCGCAGCCACGCCCCCCACCCACAGTGCGATCACTGGCACCAGAACGCATGGCACATTAGTGCCTGCGTTCCGGTCCAGTGCGATCTGCAAACACTATCTTTTGCAGATCGCACTGGACCGTAACACAGGCACTAATGTGCCATGCGCTTGGGTGCCGGCGATCGCACCGCGGGCGGAGGGGCGTGGCTGCGGTGCCATTGCATTCAATGCACTGCCCCCAAAAAAAGTGAGCCGGTCGGGTTGCATTCCACTACGTTCCAGAGGCTGAACGCACTCTTGATGGTGTGACTGGGCCCTGAAACAGGCGAGATTTGTGTGGCTGCATTACATAGCAGGAAAGAGAGCTCAGGGCCCATAAAGCAATGTGCCGCCATGCCGCTGTTCACCATCGTAAGTTAGATTTCTCTGTAGGTGACACAGTGACTTTAAAACATACTTTGTGAACTTTGCTAATCTCCCCCATGAATTTATTATAAGATGCTAAGTGATAATTCCCATAGAAATGAACATTTCTGGGTATAAATATCCCGTAATGTGCATTCCGGCAATCCAGACTCATTTGCATAGACACTGGTGGATACTATCAATACGTTTGTCTCCTTTGTGAGAAGCAGCAATGTCAAACACGGCTAATGACAGGATTGTCCTTTACTGCCGGGAAAACATCACCCACATTCCTCTTCTATCATTTTTCTGCTGATATAAAAAAGAAATCTTCCTTTGTACCTGCTACAAAAAGAGTCCATTCAATTGTTCTGTGCCGGCTGATTAAACATCAAATCCCAGCACACGCGGTCCAGAAAATACTCCAACTGCCCGGACACTGGTAGACTTTCCTACGAACGCTCAGATGAAAAGTCTCATCAGAACGTTTAATAATGCCATTAGAGACTTAGAAAATGTTTGACATTTTTATTTAACTACTTGCTGACCGCTGTGTTTACTTCCTCTTCCTGTCCCGGCCATTTTTCAGTATTCAGCACTGCGGTACTTTGACTGACATTTATTCCGTCATGCAACGCTGTACGGAAATGAATTTTATACCATTTTTGGGGGACAGATAGAGCTTTCTTTTGGTGGTATTTATTGTATTTTTTACTATATTAAGGAAAAATGACTGAAAATTAAAAAAAAGTTTTTTTTACATTATGTTAGGAAATAATTCTTATTTCCCAATTTTTTGGTAAAATATAAAAGGCGGGGTCACGTCGGGTAAATATTAATTCCAAAAGATGTCACCAGCACTCCAAAAGTAGATTCAATATATTTTAATGACAACGGTCATTCAAAATCACAAGTACTTTCGGGGCCACGTTGGGTCCCCGTCATCAGGCTCAGAATTGTCATTAAAATATATTGAATCTACTTTTGGAGTGCTGGTGACATCTTTTGGAATTACTACTTGACTACACGGTGCCTCCGTGGTCGCTACAAGCACCCTATTACAGACATCATCTCCTAGGAGATCCGGTAAGGAGTGCAGGAAGATACACACAATTTTGTACACGTCGGGTAAATAGACACCAAACATGTCAAGCCTTAAAATTGCGCGAAATCGCAAAAAAAAACTACCATACCCATATGCCCATAGTCGACGCTTTAAAAGCTTTTACAGCTCATCAGTCTAGTGTTATCAGTGATTAATGGCCCTAAAATGATTGCTCTCACTGCGACGTTCGCGGTGAAATGTAACATGCGGCGTAATGGGTGCAATCGTCATTTTTGCACGTATGCGCACCCTACACATGTTTGCACACGTGTATGTATGGGTGGGGACTTTAAAACATTTTTTTTTTTGTAATTCTTTTTCATGTGTGACTTTTATTATTATTTATTTTTTCACTTAAAGGGGTTCTAAACCCTCCGTTTTCTTTTGCCTATATAGCAGTAGATATAGGCAAAACTGTTTTGTTTTTTTTAAACCCCGCTTTAACAGCAGTTTCCACTTACCTTGTTTTTGGCTGCGCGCTCCCGTCCGAGAAAACGGAATTGCTCCGGCGGCCGCAAAGCATCTTGGGGCGGGCGCAATGCGCAGTTCGGATTCTCGGCCGGGAGACGAGCAGAGAAGCAAGGTAAGTGTATGGACGCGTGCACCGCATGCAGACAAAAAATACCCTTTAATGTCCCTTTAACTTTATTGTTATCACATAGGGACTAAGAACCCCTACTATGTGATAGCAAAGAGATGTGACAGGTCCTCTTTATGAAGACATCAGGGGTCTCCAAGAGAAGCTGATGAAGCAGAGCTCTGTTTCATCAGTTTCTCTCCAGCTTCTGAAGCTGGAGAGTGACAGGAGAATGCGGAAGTGATGTAATGTACAGCACTTCCACATTCTGACACCGGAGAGGGAGATTGTGTACCGATCTCCCTTTGGTCCCCTGTCACAGAGCCATCATGCTGGTCCCGGGCTCGCATCGGGCACAGCGGAGCTCGGGACCAGCAGAGGGTGGGGCTGCGGACGGGAGGGGGCATGATCGGCACCTTTATACAAGCATTCCGCCACCTCTATAGCCAGCGAAACGCTTGTATGTAAACAGGTATCGCTGCCTGTTTTTTTTACATTTGGGCAGTTTCCCCGCTTGTGTGCGAGGGGGCGGTGCCAACAGGCCATCTTTAGACTGCCTGTCACATCCAGCAAGGCCCTGGCCGGCCGGGAGGCGGTTAATTAAACACCGATTTTTGGAATGAATGGAGATTCCCGAACAGAAACCACATTCAGTGTTAGCATTTTGTGCGTTCGATGTTAAGTAAGTTAAATTTAAAAATACCAAAAAAAAGGAAATGAAAGTCCCCTGTCCCCCGCGAAACGCCCTCGCAAAAAAAAACAAAAACCCGGCTCATAAATTTTTTAGCTGGCTTCCTGGTTAGAAAATTTGTCAAGCCCTAACATGAGGAATTTCATTAAGTGTAGTTTATCCGCTGATTTTGCTTGAAAACATAATAGATTTATTTCTCAGTTAGATTCTTTATTCCCTTTGGGTCTAAATGTTGTTTAGAAGTAAATCTATTTAATCTCCAATTATTAATGTTAATATTTATTATCATTGTGTTTGTTATGCGTTTGTTTATATTTGATCTCTCTCTTTTTTTTTTTTAATTGTTTGGTCTTATCTGTTAGAGCAGCAAACCTGTGTAACTCTCTTCCCCAGTGGGGATCAGCGTGGGCTGGGTGGGTACCAGTGTATGGGCAGCTTAACCATCTGTTTTATTCATTTGTCACATAGTAAATAACATTTGTAGTATTGGATGACAACTGTCATTTTGTTTTAGGCCCATAGACTACCAACTATTTTGGCTTTGCCCAGTGCTGCTGATCAAGCATGATAATATTGGTGATTGCCCTTTTTAATGAACACTTTGTTTTTCTGTTGTAGGCTAATGAAGATGGTGGAGTTCATTCGGACGCTGTCTGACCACCTTGACGATGTCAACTGTTGTGCCTTCTCCGACTCTCTCTTGGCGACATGCTCCTTGGATAAAACAATCCGGGTGTATTACTTAAATGACTATACCGAGGTGCCCTTCTCCCCCCTCAGAGGACATACGTATGCTGTTCACTGCTGCTGCTTCTCCCCGAGTCAGACTATGTTGGCTTCCTGTTCTACGGATGGCCGGACCATCCTCTGGAGTATGTGCAGTGGCCAGGTTTTGGCATCTCTGGAACATCCAGGTTGCAGCCCTGTTAGGGTGTGCAGGTTTTCCCCCAGCTCCATGTATTTAGTGTCTGGGGGGGCTGACGGCTCCGTGGTATTGTGGAACGTACCATTAATGAAATTGTACAGGTAATACGTTGACAGGGATTCTTCATTTTTTTTTTTTCTTTTTTTCTAGGAAGTATTTTCTTGAAATCTCTGCATGATGTCCCTTTATAGCAGGTTCCATGTGACGTGTCAATGTGCACTCATTGGAGATATCAACCAACATTACACAGTATAAGAGGAGTTATGATTGTGATAATTGTACCATGGAAACTGCTGTCAGATCTGGACAGGAGGTATATCTAGATAGACTAGATATACTTGCCCACGTGTTACTGTCTGTTTCAGTCCAGAGATTTACAACGTCCTATCGCACAGCACAGCCAGGTGGACGACACCACTTGCCTTTAAGGAATACAGTGGTGTCATCTCTCAGCCCCCAGCCTGCCAATCTGACAGTGGAAGAGCAGCAGCAGACTAATTGGGTCATTCCTCTGCTAGCTGCTCTGTCCCCTCCTATCAGCATGCTCCTATTTGCGTGCAGCACCCTTGATTGGCTCCCTGTCCTGCCCCTCCCTCTGTTTCTCCTGTGCAGAAGGATTAAAAGAAGCTGATACCAAGTCAAATTTAGGTTTGTACACTGCTTGCATAAAAATACATTGAATGATGTCTTCATGAATACACGGCTGCATACATGAAGTGTATCTATAACTCAAACGTTATTATAGTTGTGGCGATGGTGGCGAAGGATAAGAACTCATGTCAGGTTTTACTGCCATCAGAGGCTATCCTGGGGGAGATTCCCTCACTTCCTGTCTGGTGAAAAGATTGACATCAGGACAGGAAGTGAGGGAAAATATCTCTACAGAGGTAAATATGTGAAGTAGGGGAAGGGCTCGGCCAGCTTTTTGTTTCCTGTCTCCCTCTAGTAGAGGTTTCTCTCACTTCCTGCCAGGTAAAAGGTTGTCCCCAGAACAGGAAATAAGGGGAAATCTCTGTAACCTTTTCCTATCTATCCAAAACTAAAAAAGAAAACCAAAATCTTTTGGGTATAGGTTCCCCCCTTACTATCTCCCTGGTTCTGAGGTTTGTTCTGATTGATGGCTGTAGGCGCCTTGGAAGGTATTATTACCACCAATCTATTTATTATATATTGCAGCCAATATGCGATCTGGAATAATGAAAGCTGTCTCTTCTTTCCTGTCTCCAGATCAGGCCTGGTGAAGGATGGCTCCCTGGTGGCGTGTGCCTTCTCCCCTGGAGGAAATCTATTTATCACAGGCTCCTCATCAGGTGATATAACGGCGTGGGATGAGAACATGCGATGTTTGTACAATGGGAAGGCACATGACTTGGGTGTGACCTGCTGCGACTTCTCCTCACAGACCGTAACAGGTCAGTGTTGTATCTGTTGGGAGATCATATCATATGTTGTTACACGCTTTTTAATAATCAGTCAAGATTTAGGGCCCATTCACGCCATAGCAATGCATTAATTGCATGATACTGTGCGATTATTCACATTCATGTGAATGACACCTCAGAGCACCTCTTGGCCACCGCATGCTGCAACACACGGTACCACAATACAGCCCTCTGTGGTGGAAACAAAGTAGTGCATGCTATTTGTATTTCAATGCACGGTATTGCAGCACTGCGAGTCGCAGCGCATAACGGTCAGGAAGTGCATTGGGGTGTCTTTTAAATAAATGGCAACGTGACGCACGGTAAGTGTGATAGTGTGCATTAATCTATGTGTGGTTGGAGGTGCTGGACCTTTCTTGAAGTCATGGTCTGAGGTCCGGTTCCAGGAGGGCGGTATTATTTGTCCGGTGTATGCCAATTAGAGAAGACTGCTCGTTTGGCATGGTGGTTATATATGACGCTACCATTAGTGCAGATAGCCAGATAGGGTATATACTGGGGAAGCTCTAGCTCTATTACTCTTATCCTTTAATAACATTCTCACTAGCTACACTGTTCAGATTGTTGTAAATGGAGCAGTTCCTAATAGAGTTGCCCTTATGCAAACTCTCACATGTAGCTAAACCCTTGATCAGGCAAAGAGCAATGTACAAAGTGCAGTGATGCTTTGCCACCAATCAGAATTGATCTGTGTGTAGCTTGCAGGCATCTGATTGGTTCCTCTTGGTTGCTTCGCTTTTTACTTCATCATTGCGTTTTGCATCGCTCTATTGGATTCAGCTCTTAGTTTACCTTTCGTCAGTGACTTTGAGGGGACATACTCTTGCTGTGTTGCTTTGTGTGGATTACATATTGATACATTACAAGTGTAGCTCAGGGGTCCAATGGCAATTGGGTGTCAATCTGTAAATTTTATATTCTGATTTTTTTTTTTTTTCCCTCCATCAGATGCGGATGGCGACATTGAGTGTTTTCAGATGGCCTCTTGTGGGCAGGACTATGAGATTCGACTCTGGCTTGTATCATATAGTGATGACAGAGGTAAGTGTTACATTCTGGCCTCGTCTATGTGTACGGTGTACCATATGTATACGTTGGCAGCACACATAAGGGATGTCGGGGCAGCAGAGCTGTCAGGGATGTCACAGAACCAGGTGCCAAACCTACCCACATCTGCTACCACTAGACCTCTGCTGTTGGACCTAATAGCGGGTTCAGTGGGTTTCTGTCACCAGGTTCTATGCTAATGATGCTAAGTCCTCATTCACACTAGAATCCGCCGGCACGTACAGCTCTGTGCTGCGTGCACACGCGTATCGGGCAGCTCCCGGGAAGGACAGGTGGTGCGTGTAATTAGTACACAGCCCCTGTCCTCTATGGGAGTACGTGGGCGTATGCCCCCCTACACTCACCCGCCCTGCACATCTGTGCGGGTGTCCGTACTCGTACCATGACAGGACAGATCATGTCTGCGTCCGAGCTGGGACACACGCACCCGTACAGATCTGCACTTGGGGTGAGCGTAGGGCGGCGTACGTCTGCGTACTCCCATAGAGAAGGACAGGGGCTGCGTACTAATCACACGCAGCACCTGTCCGTCTCGGGAGCTGCTCGATACGGCCCTGCACGGAGCTGTACGCGCCGGCCTTTTCTCGTGTGAATGAGGCCTAAAAATTAACAGGACCAATGAAAATGTATTTCTAACTAAGCAATGAAGAGATTCAATATATAATCAGATCAAATACATTATAAGATGTTTGTCAATTAATGAACTTTAATGAAAATTCTTACAAAACCAAGTCCATCTTCTGTAATTGGATTGTGATCAGAACTGTAAACTTTCCAGTCTGTCAACTTACTGACTAATCTAAGTAACCCGTACACCTAAATCTACCTTGCGTATCTTCTCTCAGTGTGAGAATGGGCCAAGTACGCAATTATCTTTTCTGAAAAGAGAACAGACGAGCGTTGTGCATGAGCTACTCACACCTGATTGATGGAAAGGTTGCTAGAACAAAGGATGAGTCCACCCAAAAATATTTTAGGTCTAGACCAGGGGTGGGTAACTCCGGCCCTCCAGCTGTGATTTAACTACAAATCCCAACATGCCTTTGCCTCTGGGAGTCATGCCTGTAAAGGTGCCCATACACTGCACGATTATCGTACGATTATCGTATGCGATCGGTTTTTCGTACGATAATCGAGCAGTGTGAACGGAGACGTGCGACCGTTTCTACTGTACGGTCGCACGTCTTCTGTCGAACCAGCATGTTCGAAAACCAGCCGGGAATCATCCGATTCTCGGCTGGTTAGAACGGTGCTCGGAAGACAAATGCCGAACGGGCCGGTGTGCGCACGCGCACACTGCCCGTTCAGCATTGCGGTCATAGGAAGCCCGCCCCTCAGGGATGATCGAGAGTGCGATCTGCCTGTCCAAGATAGGCAGATCATATGTTTTTTTTAATCCCTGTACAACCATCGCAAGACTAAAGTCTTGCGATGGTTGTAGAGTGTATGGCCACCTTAACTGTCAGTCTTGTGATGCCTCATGGGACTTGTAGTTCTACAACAGCTTGGGGACTGTCTTCTTGTAGTTCTTGGATGTTCTAACAGTAAGAACTCCCTGAAAACAATGAATTTGCGGCGCTAGATCCCCGCAAATTCATTGTTTTCACTTTTAGGACCTATTGTCTTTATTATGTCAGCTTTACATTTCCCACAACATTAATTATTCATCTATAAGCGCAGATTAACATCTTTTCATAGTAAGAACTCCCTGTCATAGTTCCTGACTCTCCGTCTGTTCACATGAGCATTTTGGGGCTTCCTGCCCATGTTCCAGCACCTACTGGGTCATTCGCCCTCTCGTAAATAAAATAATCCAACCCGGAAGAGTGGGATCCCTTTGTAATGTCCACAGCAGGTGTGTAGACCTGATAACTCCAGAGCAGATATCCCCACCTCCATGGTTGCCGGTCCTCTCCCCATGGTTGCCGGTCCTCTCTCCATGGTTGCCGGTCCTCTCTCCATGGTTGCCGGTCCTCTCTCCATGGTTGCCGGTCCTCTCTCCATGGTTGCCGGTCCTCTCCCCATGGTTGCCGGTCCTCTCTCCATGGTTGCCGGTCCTCTCTCCATGGTTGCCGGTCCTCTCTCCATGGTTGCCGGTCCTCTCTCCATGGTTGCCGGTCCTCTCTCCATGGTTGCCGGTCCTCTCTCCATGACCCAGAGCCGCTGTGCATTCTGCTGCTGGATAAAACGATGTTACGAATGCCCTTGTGGAGCGGGGGACGCGTTAGGAGGATGTTTATTTACATGCACTGGCAATCAGGAAAGAGTTACAGACAAACCTTAAGCTGGCCCTACAACCTGCGGGCTGAACAGAGAAAATATAACGCTTAGGAGCATTGATCGAGGGATCTCCCGCTGTCTTCGCTGTATTCTGGCAGCACCCACTGACCGCCATCGGAATGCCTGAACAGAGCCGGCAGCCCATTGAGTGTATCAACTCAAGAACAGAAAATCTATATATTGCAGCTTACCTGTCCTTATATGTGGTGGCTGCATTCCTTTTCATTTCTCCTTTTATTTTCAGCTGTTAAGGAGCCAGTTACTGGCTCCTTGTCTTAAAGTGACAACGCTTACTCGCTGTACTCTGTGGAGGAGCAGTGTTATACTAGAACTAGAAGAAATTTAGGACTACAGAACACCTCCTACCCTCCCCTCCACTGCTCCTAAACATGAGTTGTTCTATAGTTCACAGTTAAGTTGGGCCAGAGTGATAACATTGCTTGAGATAATACTGCAGAGGGCACAGAATTTTCAGAAGGATCAACCGGTATATTTTGCACTGAACTTAAGAGTATGTCGAAGCAAAATATAAAACATGCAGCACATCTCTACAATACAGTCACATTTCATTGTGTTTTATCCCAGAAATGCATTCAGCACACAGCTTTTGTTGTTGACAGAGTGGTGTCAGCCCTGCTCCGTTATCTTTTGCTAAACTACTCAGCTGCTCCCACTCCAGATCTTTACAAAGTAACGGTTAATCATTCTGTAGTCTAAGATAAGAAGTAGGAGGGCTGTTTGATATAACGAGGACAAGTGGGCTCAGGGCACAGGAGAACCTCGAATTTCTGACAATATCAACAGCAATTTTTTTTTTTTTTTTGCATGCAACAGAAATAACAAAACAGTTTCCATTGTAAATGTATTGCACTGAATAAGAGAAGTTTATGTTTAGGATTTCCGTACTCTGACAGATCGTAGTATTGTAGGAGTCGGCTTTTTTCCTTGAATCTGGAAATGGGGGGCCTCTGACATCAGCATGACGACACATTTTATTTTGTTCTCTAGCATTGGAAATGCGATGCAAGCTGACACTGAGCGGACACACGGCCCCCGTCCTGTCCTGCGCCTTTTCCAGCGACGGTCAGATCATCGTCTCCGGGTAACAATCACCTTCTTGTAATTCTCCAATCCTGCCACTAGAGGGCTGCAGACAATTGATCATTCCTCCTCCTGATGGAAGCTGTATAGCAGGCCTGTGTGCTGTGTTATGGAGTCATGATGTCATGAAACAACAGTGAGGAGGAATATACAAGACATTAGTCCGGATAATTATATTTAGGAAAATGCTGTTTATATTGATACAACTCGGAGTCTGCTGGCTTTGTATTTGTACTCTGTTTTTAAAATGTCCTTTTCTTTAAAAAGTTCTTTTAATTCAAGTTAATTTAATATAAAAACCACATTGCTGATTGAGCAGGGCTTTCAGAAGGACTCTGCCTGGGACTGCAGCTTCTCCCATATTTTATTAGTAGGTAGCAGTGGGGGAGGGGTGTTTGGAATAGCTAATGTAAATGATTGAGTTGTCACCATGTATGATATTCATATGAAAAATCTCATCAGGACATCGGATATATTGCCATCACAGACTTGACAGATGATGTTTGATTTGGAATCAATGGAGTTTCCTGAACGAAAACCACATTCACTGTTAAAATTTTTCCATCTTGTTCCTTTTGATTTTTAATTTCTTTTTATTGTCAAATCCCAAATTTGACCCCAATGACTATAAGAAAATCAAATGAATGTTCTGAAAAAATGTTTTCAAAATAAATTCTACAAGTGTATAGCGAGGTTGAAGTTGGGTACACACGGAGAACATTTGAGCCCATTCAGCATGAATCGTCCAAAATTTGCTCCATTGGTGACCCAATACCATCGCCAGAAGTCAATCATTAGATCAAGGTTTGGGGAAGGAACATGTTGGAAAATGTTTGGCTGAATGTTGCTTGTAGCCAATCAGGTCTTCTGGCAGCGGCCGGTGACATAATACTATGTAATCAGCGGGGGATTCGTCTATCCGCACTGTTCAGGTTGGATGGAGGAATCTGGTTTATTTTCTTCACTTAGTCTGCATGATGAATGAAGAAAATATAACAGTGTACACCCAGCTGAAGTGATGATGGAGATGAGATAAAGTTGTTGTCTCAGCATTACCATGACCTTGTTGTCTGCACTGCTGCTGCGGTGTTCTTATGTAAACACATGGACAATGACCTATGTCATAAAGATAATATTATAAGGCAAGGCAATAAACGTCTTTCTTTTTTTCTAGGTCTGTGGACAAATCTGTTATCATTTTCTCCTCTGTAAGTTTTCATCTGTTTGAGTTCTATTATTATCAGAAGTGAATGGAGTGAAAGGAGTAGAGTGAAGCGAGTGCAGAATGTCACTGACACCTCTGTGCTTTTTATTCCACTGAACTGCTAAACTCTCACCCTGGGCCTAACAAGCCTTTGGAGTAGTTCTGTCTGGAATATTTGATGTTAAATCTTTGATGCTGCAGAAGAGGAAACCTCGAGGATGACTTTACACCGGCAGTACAAGACATGAAGGTCTCTTCACCTCTACCCACTCCATTAACTTTTGACATGCCTCACTCACATACCAATACGGAAACTATCCCAGGGGTAGCCACCGTACTCTATTTGTAAAGTAAATGCCCGGGTGCTCGGCCACAAAATTAATCCTTACAAATCTAAAGTCGGTATAAAGACTCTCACGGGTCATGCAGAGGAAAGAAGTCAAAGCATCAGCATTGTATTGTCAACCTTTTGAATGAGCTCAGTCCATCTTTCCAAAGACTGAGACTGGACTGAGCTCAGTGGCATAATAATCGCCATAGCGACCCAGGCGGCCGGTATGGGGGGCGGGGCACAGGGGGGCCCGGGCAGATGACGAGCGGACCGCCTGGGTCGCTATGGCATCCTCTGCTGGTGGCTTTCACTGGCGGCTCTGAAGAAGAATGCGCTGCTGTTCAGATCACTGACCGTAATCTGTGCAACAGCGCGTTCGTTTCCAGAGCCGCTGCTGAGTCAATGAGAGCCAGCAGCGGCGGTGGAGGAGGCCGGACCCGGCAGTGAAGGAGAAGGCGGGGCCCGTGGTCGACAGCAGGGGAGGAGGCGGGCCCGACGACGGAGAGCGTGGAGGAAGAGGAGGCGGACAGGTAAGGAGTGCGACCAGCCCATCTGAGGGTGAGTCTATGGTGGGCTCTGCAGGGTCACCCTCGTGTGGGCTCTCAAGTGGGCTCTACAAGGGGTGTAACTAGAAATCACAGGGCTCCATACAAAATTTTGCTATGGGGTCCTGTGATTTCTAGTTACGCCCCTGACTGAGCTCCATCCAAATGTTGACAATAAAGGCTGATGCTTTGACTTCATTTCCACTGCAAGACCCGTGAATTCCTTTATATCTACGTTGGATTAATAGTATAAACTATAATAATATATGAAAGGAAATGTTTATTTACAAATATTACAATTGCATGAAAAGAAAAATCTATACTGTGTTTGGATGTAATCGCATGTGCTGCAGTTACCTGTGGTTAGAGACAAATGATCGCCCGTGGACGCAAGCAGCTTATGATTTTGGGGCACCGAAAGGGTCTCGTGTGTGTGTTTCTAATTAAATATATAACAATAGTAATTGGAGGGTGTCATGGTAATGTATTTATTTTTTGTGAGATTTTATTTACACGCACATGGTTAAGGTCACATCCTAATATCATCTGATTATTTCCTAGAAAACTGGGTCCATCCTGCATATCCTGACGCATCACACACGGTAAGTACTGTATATCCGTAATCTTCTCTCTCTTGTCTTGGTTGAATTCTTTGTAGATGGATGGCTTTCAATCTAAATATCCCAGTAGGATTCAAAGTCTCTGGAGGAAGCTCTCATGATTGAAAGGGCCACATAGGGACACAAGAGCAATGAGAGGATGAGAGTTCCAGTACATGTTTCAGGGGCTTAAAACTTCCCCTCCGTCAGAGCAGTCAGTTTTGGTGACCCTAAGCTGCTACTAACCGCATCACTTTGCAATTATTATCCACTACATTATCAAATTCACTAAGGAAACACTAATGCAGACCACTCCAGGGACCCTGTGTTAGACCCTGGCTGACAGAGAGATGCCACTGAAAGTTTGCCTTTGACTCTTGAATTCTCTATCCACACTGGGGCCTAGCAATCCACCTCAATCTAAAAGGGGACAAAGAAACACCACACTGGTTTTTGGAAGGACAAGATGAACGTTTACTTAGCCAACGGGTTTCGGGGGCTCCAGAATTCCCTCTTCTTCTGTGCTTTGTTGGTTAGTGGTAGGAAATACATAGGACTTGAGGTTAAAAGTGAATTTAGAGTATTGTGAATGCAGAGCACATGATGTGTATATGGCCTGCGTATAGCAGCAGGATGAGGTAACAACTAATTGTGTGAAACTATCACTAACACTGGAAAAGGTGTATTTTTTACTTTTTATCTTAAAATCTATAAAAAGTGACAATTCCTAAGACCATAATCCCACATAAGAATCATTGATATGCAGTGTCATAAGTAATATGCAGTGTGGAGAGAATTTGGGAGATGTCCCATTGCCAAAATGTCCTCATTTCTACATTCAAAGGGGATGGCGACATTAAGGGGGATTTATAAGGGTGCAGTGGGCCTTAAATGGCTCCTAAGGGTTAGGGGAAACTCCTGGGCCAAAGATACGCTAACTCTGGTCCTCAAGGTAACCATAACATAAACCATGAATGTAATCCTAAACCTTTTACAGTGCTGACTTGCTGATCACATAACGGTATCAACAAAGCTATGTGATCCCATGACACAGTGATGGGGCCTTGCAGCTAAAAGCTCTGTGCTCCAATCTTTAATGTCAACTGCAATGAACACCAAGTCACAAATTTTCCAGCCAAATCACATTCCTTGAATTGCTATCCGTAGTAATGAACATTTCATTAGGCACATCAATGTAATATAAAAATTGGTCCTGTCTTTAAAGTAATCAACCTCTAGTCCGGCAATAGTCTAACTCCTCCCTGCTCCATCATTAACTACAATAACATACGCTTTGTCCGGAGTTGAAGGCTTTAAAACAAGGAGCAGTTTTCTTTAGTGAGATTTGCAATGACAGTACTGAGGACCTCTGCCTATGATAGAGACATAAGCAAAAAGCTAGTGCAGAATGTGGTGCCCCAAAGATCAGCCAGGTCAGGGAGTATAGCCGGAGCCTTGGCATATGAAGTAAATGACTGTTGCCTGTGGAATGCGTGCTAGGTATATTTTTGACTGTGCAGCCATTTCTACTGCCAAGTGATAACCAGTGAGACTCAATGTTCTATGTGTGTCATGTCTTCCTGTGTTGTGAAACAGCAGCCCAAAGGAGAGAAGTTAAAAATATCTTTTGTCAAGCAACATGGCAGTGCTAATATTTTATAGATTGATATATATATATATATATGGGTTGCAGTGCAGATTGTAAATGAAGAAATGATTCCTTGATTTCTACAGCTATGTGACTGCCTGTGCTTTAGCACCAAATCAGCCTTTGCTGGCCACCGGATCCATGGACAAGACTGTGACCATCTGGAAACTGGGACCAGCCAGTCAGTCAGCAGGTGCTCATATGCTTTATAACATAACAGAAACACAGGATAGGATTTTATACGGCTCTTCTTAAAGTTTGATGTACAAGTATAGTTTTGTAATGAAATCCTTGTGTGGGTCCCCCCCCCCCCCCCTAGTATGCCCCCGCAAAGACCAGAAAAAAAGCA